TGTGTGTTTGTGTTTCCGCTTTTTTGTACCTTCATAACTCCATAACGCATTTATGGATTGTGGTGATATTTGGTATACTGGTAGGTGTTAGGGGGGCGAAGGTCAAGGTCAAATATGGGCCTCCTGGTGGATGGCCTTGGTACTGCAGCAGCACTTCCGGTTTAATGAGGAGTCTGCCAGACAGGGTAACAGATGTCTGATTGTGTCGAGGCTGCCCAGGGCTTGCGACCTGGTTTGATTAATGAGAGGTTCTTCCTCAGGGAATAAGGCGACCTCTGTGCGCTATGATGTGGAAAATTTGAGTGTTAGGGTGGATGGACACCCAGTGTTGACGTAATTTTGGCACTGAGATCTAGTTACCTCCATGAAAATGGAGGTATTGTTTTTGGCGCGTCTATGTGTGTGTGTGTTTGAGTTTCCGCATATTTGTAGTCAGCATAACTCCATAACGCCTTTATGGATTGTGATGATATTTGGTATGCTGGTAGGTCTTAGGAAGCCAAAGGTCAAGGTCAAATATGGGCCTCCTGGTGGATGACCTTGGTACTGCAGCAGAACTTCCGGTTTTTGTATCTTTTGTCCTGAACATGTTATGGTCTTGATTTTTGGGTGACAGATAGATTGTCCTGCCAGGAATAATTGGTGTGGGTTTGGTCCCCCTAGCAGCTTGTTCTGAAACTGCAGGGGACTTTCGGGGGAAAATCTTTAAAAGCCAATAGGTCCAGACAGGAACAATGTATTTTCATCATTTTTGGTAGGTAGGTAGCTGAGAGAGATGTACATAACTTAATGCAAATTATGCAAATGAGGACTTTATTTGCATAATAAATGAGGAAATTCTCTAATTACAGTGTTTTACATTGTAGTACTTTAATACATGTAATGTATGTAATCTTTGGCAGATGGAACATCAACAGATACCAATAATGCAAATTATGACCTCATTTGCATAATTAATGCGAAAATTCAATGGGTAAATGATGGGAATATCCTACTTGGTGTAAATTGTAAATTCATCAAAAGTTAGCATCACGATACATTAATTATGTTAATGTGGAGGTCATTTGCATAATTAAAGAGGAAATTTACATTTACACGTCAAGCCCATATTTCATGGAGGTATGTGATCTCAGATCTCTTGTTACTTATTGTTATTATTATGATTTGCAGTTCTGCATCCACTTGTTATTTATTTATTGTTATTATGATTGCTGTTCTGCATCCACTTTGTTATTTACTTTTGTTATTATGATTTGCAGTTCTGCATCCACTTGTTATTTATTTATTGTTATTATGATAGCTGTTCTGCATCCAATTTGTTATTTACTTATTGTTATTATGATTTGCAGTTCTGCATCCACTTTGTTATTTACTTACTGTTATTATGGTTTGCAGTTCTGCATCCACTTTGTTATTTACTTATCGTTATTATGATTTGCAGTTCTGCACCCACTTGTTGATTTACTACTGTTTATGGTTTGCAGTTTTGCAACCTCTTTTTGTAACGTTTTTTGTTACATTAATCATCCATGACCTCTGACCTCTCCCCGTTCACTTAAGTTTAGTTTTCAGTTAATGTTGTGTGCGTTATGTTATTTTTTTGATTATGTTGGTTTTACTTTCATGTACATTTGTTTTGTTCTGTTCTGTACATTTGTTTCATTGTAATTTTGCGACTCCAGGAAGAATAGATTTCATGTAAATCTAATGGAGATCGAATAAACAAACAAAAAAAACATGTTATAACACTCTGGTGCTAAAAATCTACATAACGTGTGTTTTTGACAGATTTGAGAAAGTCGTAGACGAAGATGAGATTGAGGGGAGACTGTGGCTACCAGCTGATAACGTCACCGGGACACAGAACAAAAGGTCAACAGGTAAAGGACTCTTTTGTGTTATTTTTGAGCGTTAAGATTTGAAGCAGGAACATTAAAACGTCACCTAATAGTTGTCTTTAGCTGACTGCTGTCTATTGCTATAGTGTTGGTAACAGAAACTGATATTACATGCATTATATCTCATACCTACTTACAGTTCGTCCGGTCAAGGGGCTGATATCAGATACTATAGCATTTATTGTGAAACATGCATAGTGTAACAGCGAGTATATAGGCGCCACTAACTGCCCAGCCCAATGCGTCCTGGACCTTTTGGCCTATCGGTTATTGCACTGCAGCTGGTTGTGAGCTGACACGCCCCGCGAGCGGCGCGGGTTCGATCCCGGGGGGTCAAATTCAACCTTCGAGTTACAATAGCAACAGTGCTTTAGGATCGCAATGATGTTTTAAAAACAAATCACCATAGCATAAAGTATTCCGTTCCCCTGTGATCAGATATCTACAAGGTCCCGTTGGTCGAGGAGGCGTGGCAAGATGGCGGACAGTCGTCCCGTCTGGATGACGGTGACGGTCACACGGAGGGAGAACTCCGCGGTCTTGTCATGTCAGCTGGTGTCAAGGTGTGTGCCTGTCTTTAGTACTACAAAAAGTTGTGTACATGCATGGAGGTAAGTGTTTTTCTACCTCCATGGTACATGTATTTCGATCACAGTTACATGAACAACTCTCTGGTATCAATGACATTTTTGACTTTATATTGGACGTCGCTTATGACAAATTGTATTGGTCGTTGAATAACCTGTAGTATTTCTAATCAATTACCATGTCGTCATCATAATGCAACTCAAACATCAGGTGTTTTCTTTAACGTTTAAAACAAAAAGTTTGATGTTTGTTTTTTTGGTTTTCTATAAACCCTGAATACCATACATGACGTGATGAGTCCACCCATGTTCCCCAGGGCTCCAGGTTCAGCTTACGGTCAGGGCTAAGACCTGATGACGTCAGCCCTCCCGGCAGCCGCCCTGACGTCAGAGCGAACAGTACCGAGCTGATAGACCTGGAGGAGGAATTCGAAGGTACAGACTTTTGTAAACCTTGGACACGTAAGAAGTGGTGTAGGATTTATGACATTGATGCAATTAACTGCGTTACGTAGTTGCATTGAATAGAGAAAAAATGTCCTGTAGTAGTTGATTGTTCACTTAGTGCGTTCTCGCTAAATTAATGAGAAAAAAGTTTGAAACAGACGAGTATCTTGTGAAGTCAATGTAGTTCTTTGAGTAATTCGATCCATTTTGTATCTATTCGTAGACACACTTGGACCTATTCGCCCAGACACAGCCGGCTCCTTGAGACCTGGTACAGTCGGTTCAATAAGACCGGACACAGCCGGTTCTTTAAGACCAGATACAGCTGTTTCTCTGAGACCAGATACAGCCGATTCACGTAGACCAGACACAGCCGGTTCACTGAGACCAGGCACGGCCAGCTCGCTTCTGTCCGATCCCGGGCGGACCAGCGCCAGACTGCGGCGGCCGGTCAGCGCGGGGTCGGAGGGCAGGCCGGAGACTGCCGAGGAGAGGTGGGGCAGGAAGCCGGACGGACTCATCGAGGAGGAGGAAAGGCAGAAACTGCTCGCCACTTTGCCGTTGGTGAGAAATCACGAGTCCGTTGACTTGATTTATAAACGTGTCGTCAAAGTCAATGATTTTTCATAAGGCTTGACATCAAACACTAACGTTCTTAAAACTTTTGATCCAACACAACGAAGTTTTCTCACCTAGAGCTTTCGACCTGTCACGTGGCTTCTTTGTAGTATGACGTCAACCAGGCTGGGTCAAAGGTATCTGGTAGACGATGTCGGCCCCCGTCGCGGTTGAGTGAAGGGTGATGGGCTATAATAACACTGAAGGCAGTCGCAAGATAAAGGGATCACGTTGACTGTGAGAAATGACAACAAAATGAAGGAGCCAGATTACATTTCTTATCAATTATTCATTTAGTAGTTCCAGTTATTACACATAAACATGTATGCATAACACCGTCTTTCATCCCCCAGCGGCAGCGCGAAGAACTGCAGCACGTGACGTCACTGGTGGAGGTGCGGGCTCGGGTGGAGCGGTGGAAGAACAAGAACAGAATGAAACGTCGTCATCACAGGGTACGTCATCAAAGTCAATGCCATGCATAGATTTTCCATGCACTTTTCTGACCATAAACTATAAGAACGCCTTAAGAGATGACCGTGCTCAGTCGTATAAACTTTAATCTCATTCCTCTGGTTGCTAGGTGGAGCCGGGCCTGGAAACCGTGTCTACGTCATCGGACACCCTTAGCTCGGGATCAGGTGAGTTGTTCTGTTCTGACGTCACCCGGCATGGGACATTTTTCGTCAACTCCAAGCAGACGTATGTCGTACTGTACTCTACATTTTGCATGTTTCCTACGTCATGTAAAGTGTCATGTCAGTTTACTGAAAACGCAGAAAAATCAAGGGAAAATGCATAGATGTGCCATACGCCTGCTTGGAGATCATGTCTTTCGTGTTGGTTTTATTCCTGTTGGTTACGATTTGGGAAGATGTGCAGATTTTTCCTGTCTAAAGCTTTTTACCTGAACGCCTTTATCCGCTCACACAGCCAGCCTTTACCTGCACTCTGTCCACGACCAGTGGGCGCAAAGCGCGGTCAGTCTCTGGAGCACTGCCTGGAACACTCCAGCACAGACGACAGGGCGGCAGAACGACATGCCGGCCATAGGACACAACACATGGGAGACCGAGTGGATAGGTGAAGCTGTGACAGATTTTGGTGTCGTGAAAGTCACTGACAAACACTTCTAAACAGCACCCGTTTCATTTCCGTTCACAGGAGCTGCACAAGTATTTCTAAGCATGCAACACCTACGTGTGTACATCAACAGGCGATGGCATCGTAACTATTGCGTTTTTATTTCTGTTTACAGGATATGCGCCTAAGTCAACGTCACTGATCTGGAATTTTATTTTTCAAGCTAGCACTGTACTTTTCGATTCATGTCGTCTGGCTTTTTCTTTGTCCTGCACTGCCACTGCTAAATGCACAACCGTTAATCTAGATTGCACTATATATATCTAGCTATTTGGTCATTCCACCGTCGGCTGGCACTTAGCCCTGGCAGTCTGCATATACATGTATCTACAGGTGGACAATGTGGGCTTTAGGCACCCAGGTGGCTTCGACTGTAGAACGTGTACAGCATGTCATGAGCTCGCCCCTAAACACTTTTTGGTGCATTGGCAAATTAGAGTATTGTGATTAACTCATTTTAAAACCGCCGTACTCCACATTTAAAACTCGGATCTACGTTCATGTAATTAAATACTGATTTTCTATTGCATCACAGGAGAGGACCATCTACATAATGTGCGGGACCAGTGGGCGGGATCCCGGCACCTGCTGTCCAGTACCACACTGGAGACCACGGACTCAGAAACACCGACACCGGGGTGAGTTTCCTTTTTGGCTCTTTAGTTCTGTCAAACTATACATAGTTGTTTTACTTTTGGATACAGGTTGAGACGCTGTTCTTTGACCTCCATATAAAGTTTTTGTGATGTTACAGAACATGACAATTTTTTGAAATTTTCTGACGGTAGTTTTGCAGGGTAAAGATTTCTATTCTCTATGCATACCTTTTAGGTCTACGTCAACTTCAGTTCGGAGTGCACGGTCTATAGACATCGAGCCAAGACAGAATAGTGGTCATCAGCCGTCTTCTTTCGCAGCAAAGAGTCCTCCAAAAACCTCAACATCCAACCGTCTAGAGATCATAAGCGAAGACGACAGTTTGGAGAGTCGAGTCGGCAGGGTGACGGACCCCCACGTGAGACCTACCCGTACACACGGCCGCGTGTCTGCCCTCTCCATGTCGGCGTGGAGAGAATACCGACAGTGGGCGGCGACAGTGTCGGCCGGCCGCCCGGGAGCAGGCGCCTCCAGGCTGGCAGACGACACCGCGCTGCCCAGAAGCGGGGGCAGCCGCTCCTCCACCACCACCACGCCGACTGTCTACCGGTACTCCTTCCGCGGCAGCGAGCTACTGACGCGACAGACCGCCAAGGGGAGGAGCCCAGTCCCGTTCCCAGAGCCGTCTTTAACGGACCTTCCTGATCTCCTTCCCGGGAGCACAGGCGTCTTAACAACAACGGCGGCGAAAGACACGTTCGGGTGGGTTCATAACGTCCCGATTCCTACAGACCGCGTCTCGCCACCTGTCACGGGAGGACGGTATGGTCTGGATGACAGGGAGGGCGCGGCGCGGCATGGGAGGAGGGCTCAGCCATCTGACAGGTCCACACAGAATTACACGCCGTCATTTGACTTTCGTCACTCAGAACAGTCTTAAAACTTTTGTATTGCGTGTGATACTAGAGATCGTGCATTCTTAAAGTTAAGTTAAAGAGCCTTCCCGTGTCAAGTGACGCATAGGGCGGCGCCCATCTCCGTTCATTAGCCCTAGGCCACACACAGAAGTCACTACAGCAGGGGGCTAGTCCACTGGTAGTGGTGTGTGTTTAACTCCCATACTCTTTCCCAATTGCTGAGTGCTAAGCAGAGAAAGCAGTATGTACCATTTTTAAAGTCTTTGGTATGACTCGGCCGGGGATCGAACTCACGACCTACCGAATGCAAGGCGAACACTCTACCCACTTGGCCATTGCACCGGTCTATTCTGCGCTAGTCAAAATTCTAAATTTAATACTCAACTGGTGCAACCGCGACATTCAGGGTAACCCGTATGCTCGTAGAAGATTCCACAACAGTTAACAAAACTGGGCTTTATAAATGAATAAATGCATTTATTGTACATTTTGCTCCATTATTGGGGATACATCATTATACATACATCAAATTATATATCTCTCAGGTGAAAATGGCTACCTGTGTACGTAGCCTCGGAGAGCGATAGTATATTAAATGGACGTCATGTGTTTGGGGAGAGCCACACCCTACGCACGTTAAAGAACCCAACACACCTTTCGAAAGAGAGTAGAGCATGTCCCGGTGTGTGATGGCCCATATTCTACAGTCCGGAGTTGGTGATTCACTACACATCACCATGTGGCATAGGAAATGGTAGTACATTTCATCTTGTACCAATCCTATTGTTTCAAACTGCCATTTGGACATATAGTGTACAAGAACTGCATCTTACTTTGCTGTCTACTGATGTAAAAAACTCATCTTTAATTTGAGCAGCATTAGTATCATTAAAGGTAATCTAACAAACATTTCATCCAGACCAAAGACCAACTCTCACATAGATTTTAATTCAATCCCGCATATAATGCTAATAGCATGTTTATTAAATAAATGTATAAACATACATCCAATCCAAATGAGCAGGGAGCATTTTTGATATTCGTAATTGATCATATTTTCATCTCATTCTTGTGCATAGAAATCTAGAAAATTAAAAACATGCAAATAACTTGTACTTCTGTCGCTGCTCTGAAATTACCAAAACTACATTGTAAAGTATTAGTTTTTACTATTACAAAAGTATTTCAAGGAGAAATGTAATTTGCACAATGTTATTTCTACACTGGAGACAAGACAATGTTCCACCTGTCTTAGACCACCTGAGATACTTGTCTATACAAACAATAAGTAAATGATTATTTGGATGGTGAAGAATAATAATGATTTCAATGTTATTACCAAATTATGATAAACTTCAGAATGACCCATTACTGTCTTGCGTACATGTTTTGAAATCTCAATTCTGGCAAGTATTAAAATTGAAGACTTGACAAGAAAGCACTTGATATACACTTGTACATATGTACATTGTAACTACAATTTAGATGTGCATATTTCATGAAATTTCTACATCATGAGGCCACTACATGAATCTATATCATGGTAAAGTCTCATACTCAGTCAGACACAGACCACTCACAAGAGTCAGACCCCACGTCATAATCATACATGCCAGGCTACCATTCCTCACTGGAGTCAGAAAACTCTTCGATATCAGACCAATATGGATATGACTCATCTAGATCTTCATAGTAATCATCAGGGTCAGGTGGGCCGTCCACCAGTCTGTAAGTGAAGAGTAAAAGCATTACTTACATGCATAAAAAGCAACTAACATGTTATAAAGTAACAAGCTGGTTTGGGGTCACCATTTACGGATGGTACCCCGGCAATAACTGAGTTACAAACAATCTATTCATAAACACCTGACAAAAAGTTTGAACCTCCAGTCACTATGTATCATATGTAACAAGACCTATAAATAAGGAAAAGCTATAAAAGTTACTGTTACATATTGTCTCTCAAAAAAAGGTACAGACTTGGACTGAATACATTTGGAAACATGTCATAGAAACATGTCTTGTTGCTGGATGCAAACTACTTTCTTTGCTAGAAAAAGAGACTTGTCTGCTCAAGAGAACTGTTTTTTAAAGACACATTGACATGTACATGTACATGTACGAATGACCCAGAGTGGACAATAATTTGGCATGTACATTCTACTACATGTACCTTATATCTTCTATGTTAACTAAATTCATAAAGCAAGCAACTAAAGTCAGCTTACCCAATCTTGTCACTTATTGGTCGAAGTAGTTCATCATCGCACCTGTAATGAAAAACAAATCTTATGAAACACTAGAAAAAACTGTTTACGCAGGATTTTCCTGAATTCTGTTAAACCCTGGGCCCAACAGTCACAAGAATTCCCAAATGTCCAACCTGTAAAATACGTAGGACACATTTTTACTAAGCTGCCAGACCCACTGCTTGTATTACGTAATAAAATTATACACAACATGTGCTATCCACCCTTCCAACTGCATGCTTTTTCTGGGGTGAGTTACCAATAGATCATGCCATCGTTTGATGTCATAATTACCTGTCAGATTTTATGTCAGGCAGAGTGCGGCAAATTAAAACTCAAGTGTCAGAGGTTAATCATTGAAATATACACGTAATCATTTAACATCACATGAAATTTTCATTCATTCATTCATTCGCTTTCAATTCAATTAAGCTTGAAGCTAAACTTACATCAATCCCTGCAATTCCTGCATAGTTGTATGTTATGATAGTATTTATGTCAGAGATTAACTTAAAACACCATTGTCAGGGGTTATCACTGAAATACAATCATTCAACATCACATGAAATTTCATTCATTCATTCAATCAATTAAGCTTGAAGCTAAACTTACATCAATCCCTGCAATTCATTCATACATTCATTCATTCAATTAAGCTTGAAGCTAAACTTACATCAATCCCTGCAATTCCTGCATAGTTGTATGTTCCTCCACAGCTGTGCTCACAGCGTGGAGCCCTGCAGCCCGCATGGAGATGTTCCACAGGCTCAGACCTTTCAACACAGGCAGCCTGGTCAGCATGGAGGCGATGGATGTGGCAGCTGTGTCATCCAGGTGGGCAGTCTCCTCAGGTTCCAGGTACAGCTCCTTTAATGCAGGCATTATGGGGATGGTCTGTGCAAAGTCTTTGATGCCCACTGCTGTTATGGGATTACAATCCAGTCTAACTATCTGCAGGCTGGGGACATGGTGCATGTTGGCAGCAAAGGATGCAAGCTCAGTATCCCCTATGTTGTTGTGAGATAGGTCCAGATTCTCCAGACAGGGTACATGATGCAGCACAGCAACAAGAGATCTCAGACAAACATCCCCTATCATGTTACGAGAGAGGTCAAGTACCTTCAGGTTGGCCACAGGATGCTGGATGGCAGCAAAGGATGCAAGCTCAGTATCCCCTATGTTGTTGTGAGATACGTCCAGTTTCTCCAGACAGGGTACATGATGCAGCACAGCAACAAGAGATCTCAGACAAACATCCCCTATCATGTTACGAGAGAGGTCAAGCACCTTCAGGTTGGCCACAGGATGCTGGATGGCAGCAAAGGGTTCCAGCCCTTCATCCCCTATGTTGTTGTTAGATAGGTACAGTTTCTCCAGACAGGATAGATGATGCAGCACAGCTACCAGAGATCTCAGGCAAACATCACTTATCTTGTTACGAGAGAGGTCAAGCACCTTTAGGCTGGCAACAGGCTGCTGGATGGCAGCAAAGGGTTCCAGCCCTTCATTCCCTATCATGTTCTTAGATAGGTAGAGTTTCTCCAGACAGGATAGATGATGCAGCACAGCAACAAGAGATCTCAGACAAATATCCCCTATCCTGTTCCATGAGAGGTTTAGCACCTTAAGGTTGGGAACTGGGTGCTGGATGGCAGCAAAGGGTTCCAAACCACCATCCCCTATGTTGTTGTGAGATAGGCTCAGTTCCTCCAGACAGGATAGATGATGCAGCACAGCTACAAGAGATCTCAGACAAATATCCCCTATCCTGTTCCATGAGAGGTTAAGCACCTTAAGGTTGGGAACTGGGTGCTGGATGGCAGCAAAGGGTTCCAAACCACCATCCCCTATGTTGTTGTGATATAGGCTCAGATTCTCCAGACAGGATAGATGATGCAGCACAGCTACAAGAGATCTCAGACAAATATCCCCTATCATGTTCCATGAGAGGTTTAGCACCTTAAGGTTGGGAACTGGGTGCTGGATGGCAGCAAAAGGTTCCAGCCCTTCATCCCCTATGTTGTTGTGAGATAGGTTCAGTTTCTCGAGACAGGATAGATGAAGCAGCACTGCTGCCAGAGATCTCAGACAAATATCCCCTATCATGTTATGATCAAGGTCAAGATTCTTTAGGCTAGGGACTGGTTGCTCCAAGAGAGAAAAAGGTTCCAGCCCATTCTTTCCTATTTTGTTGTGCGAAAGGCTTATATTTACCAGACAGTGGAAATGGTGCAGCACAGCAGTAAGGGATTTCAGAAACAAATCCCCAAGCCCACAGCGCTTGAGGTTCAGATCAGTCAAACTTGTAACTTCAACCTGCAGTCTTACCTCATTATCTCCTATGTTTTTATTGTCTGACAGGTCAAGTTCCTTAAGCATAACTAGCTTGGGCAGGATATCTCCAAGTGCCTGGAGTGATTCAGGTGTAAGGCCTGTTTTTTGAAGATCCAGTGATTGCACATTGGGGACATTTCTCAGGAAAGGGACAAGCTTACCTAGCATATTGCCAATGTGACAACTGCTAGATCCACCTTCTTCTTTTCCAATTGTCAGATACAACTTAAGGTCTGGCAGCTGATTTTCCACCAGGCCTGACAGATATTGTATGACATCTCCTTTACTAGCCTCTCTCACTACAAGTTTCAATGATCTACCCTCTGGTAATGTTGGTGCATAATGCAGGTAGTACTTAAGTGCAGCTCCTTTTCTAGAGGGGACGTAGATAGTGAAGTTCAGAGATGATAGCAGTGTGCTCACTATTGGGAAATGACTGGGATCCTGACCTTCATACAAACTCATTAAACAGACTTGTTGCAAAGATTCAGACTTATCTTTGTCCTGGGACACAGCTTCATGTAGTATGTTGAATTTTGTCATCATTTCCCTTGTGGCTTTATGTCCACAGCCACAAATAAACTGGACCAGACTGCTCTGCTGCAGAACATCATCCAGTGTGTCCAGTGGAACTAACTTATTCAGATCACCTGAGGAAGAGTTGATTGTGTCAGCAACATAACGGCCAGCAAGAAACTCCTGCATGGTCTTGTGAGGAAAGTTCAACTGTTCTCTTGGGTGCAGTCTGGATGCAGACACTTCTTTGGAAACAATACCAAGTCTCAGTAGAATGTCAGTGTCCTGAATTGCAGCACTTTTCCCCAGGTCTACCAAGCTTTCCCCCTTCAACAATGACACTAGGGCAAGTTTGCCAAGGTACAGCAGTGCTGCAGATACCACTGAGGGTACTTCATCATTAAGCATAGCGAGACCCTCCATTACACAGTATTTCCTGATTACACATGTCAGCAGTTCCTGATATAATCCTGACATTGTCCCTGGGAAAACTCTGCTTGGATCCTCTTCCCACAGAACACAAATCAGCATGAGGAACATGGGGGTCTGGATCAAACTTCTAGCCACAATATTGGCTTGTAGTGCTTTGATAAGTGAATCTGCTAGACCTGGTTTACCAACAGTATTGAAATATATTTCTACATATTTCTCTAGATTATATGAGGAAAAGCCCATAACGTCAACTTTACAGTCAACTGTCATGTTATGACTGACACCTGAGAAAGGCCTGGTAGTGACTATGACTTTGCTTCTGGGATACAACCTCTTGGCTAGAAGCTTAGGAATGGTCTCTTTAGCCTCACTTGCACCTGGAACCAGTTCATCATAGCCATCCAACAGAAACACTAGTTTGGGCTCATTTTCCCTGAGACATGTCTCTATAGAAGCAACACTAATGTCCTCTGACTGTGTGACACACTGGTCCCATACAATCATTGCTATGGATTCTCCTGGCTGAACCTCTCTCAGCCGGACCAGTAACACTATCTTATTCATCTCTGCTAGCCTGCCTTTGTCGCATGACCAATCCAGGGCTGTTTTAGAAAGCAGAGTTGACTTTCCACTCCCTGCATCTCCAACAACCAAAACATTGAATCTTCCATCCAGATCACTTTTGGTCTGATTGTCAAAGACACCATCAAGTGACTCCAGCATTCCTCTCTTGCTACCACCATGAAGACTGACTAATTTGAGACTAGTGAAAATCTTATCAAGGTCAAGAGTGAATCTAGGGTTCCAAGGCAAAGGCTTCAGAGTGTTCAGGGTGCTTTTGCAGTTAGTGGCCACCGCACTCCTGAATGCATTTCCCTGTTCCTCTGTCTCTGAAAGGGAGATACAATAGATGGGTTATCAAACGTCTTACAATACATACCGGTAATACACTAGTATGAGTAACTTTACATTCTGCTTATCTGCAATGTATTGGAGCCAATGGAACCTTTGAAGACACCAATCTAATGATATTATTTGTAAAAGATTATTTTATAAATTAGTTATTCACATTAGTATGTATGGTTTAAGTTGACCTTTATTTCAGCTTTCGCAGTTTGTGAGATATCATGATATTCTTTCTTGTATACTTTTCATCATCTGACATGGTATTACAAACATGCATCTTACCGATACCAACAAATTCCTTTTTCAGACCATCCACAATACTCCGCAGGTTTGCCTCAGACAGAGCCTTCATCAGGACCTGTATAGTGGCTCTCTCTCCATTGCTCTTGAGCCATTCCTCCAAGAGGTCCATGCAGCGAGATTTGTCATCCTGGTTTCTCCCGTCGATGTTGTCAATGTCTGGCCGCCCAAACCCAAGATGGAAGGCCAGGTCTTTCCAGTCTGAGCTCACCTTTTCCTTGATGTAAAAGAAGTACTTTCGGACACCTGTAAAGTAACATAGACAAGATGAGTTACTGATATAGAACCCCTCCATCGTTCCTTCCTTCCTTCCTCCCTCCCTCCCTTCCTTCATTCATTCCAATACAATATAATTCCAATACAATATTGTTAGTTTTACTATAGAGCTTGAAATGTTTATTTCTGCATACCTGTACTGCTACAGGTAACTTTCAAAATTATCTGCACTAGACCTTTGCCTTTAGTGTCATGGACCCTAACCCTGGGGCAGGTTAGAAGCAGGTTAAAACACTTGCACAGCTAATTTTACCAATTACCAACCTCCATGTAGGTTGTACATGTATTTACAGTTCTGGTTACCAGCCATTCAAAATGTGCCTACATTGCACATACTGGTATACTCATGTACTAGCCTCTACCAGGCTTCTGGAAGCGGCTGGAAAGTGTAAAAATTGGCCACATAGACAGATAACATGCCAGAGGACTGCTGAGTAAGAGCAGCAAATTGTCCACTTTAGTGGACCAACACCCCTGGCATATTACTAGTACATGCCTATTTGACCAATTTCTCTTTCCAGCTGCTTCCAAAAGCCTGGTAGAGGCTAGTCATATACCACAGTGACTTCAATTATACCACACATGCACATAAGGTATGACCTGTCACCTCCCACTGGTAGTCCTTCCTCTCCAGAAATAGCCGGTTTCTTCACTGGAATCTCTTCTCCTTCTTCCCCTTTCCTCTTTTGCTGGCTCGTTGAGGGTTGGGGTAAACCTTTATCAGAATCAGAGAGTAAATTATTATCAGTGTCTGAAAAGGGACAAAAAGTGGAATAACCCTATATAAAGAATAATATCATAATTCAGCTGGAGAAAAGTTTCAATAAACTGCTGAAGAAGAAAAATGATACATGTACATACAGGTGGTACCGTTACATGCATTAGGTCAGCAAAATTCACAATATGATATAAAAATAAACAGCATTAAATGCCCATGTCTTTATCAAACATTGACTTGGACATTCTCTAACTCACAGCTGGAAGAAGCTTGGTCCCTTCCACCTTCCTGAGCTTTATCCACTGCATGTTGTTGAATATTAGCTGGAATCTCCATTTCTGCTACTGCATCAGGGGGGCTGTCTGCTAAAAGAACACAAATTGTAAGTTCCGATATCAATGGTTACAATGCAAATTTTTGATAGTGTAAAAATAGCAGGCTTGGAGGAAGAATGTGTATGAATTTGCTGCGTACATTGTACAAAAAATAAGTTAGATGTCTCCTGCAACCACTAAATTTAATTGGATGGCATAGAATATTGGCCATATTCGAATTCAAAGAAATACATGTAGAAACATTTGATAATCAATTGCAAAGCTCCAGGATGTCTGACATGAACTCAAATGAGTCTTTTATTTCTCAAGAAAAAGAAGAAAAAAAAAACCAGAGTTAGAACTTAGATATAGATGAGGGCCTGCATGCCCTTTTCCGTTAACCGTTATGGGCTATTTTAATTCACCGTTAATCGTTGCCGACCCGCTCTAATTCAACGTTAAGCATTATCGGTATATTCATCGTGAAGTGTTACTCGTGACGTTTTAATTCTACGTAGAGCGTTATTTGTCATCCTAAATTCAGCGTTAAGCGTTAATGAATAATTCGTTACGCCTAATTTTGCCTTTCAAACTGCAGGAAAATGCGTCATTGAAGGTTTAAAAATCCAAAATTTCCCGGGGGAAAAAATCCCCCGCACCCCCTACATAGCATGGCTTGTGCCTTTGGCGCTCAACTTGACCCTTCTGTGTTTGGTTCCCTTCGGCTCTAGCCAGCACCTGGAGTTTTCCAGAACTTTGCGGCGTGGGACGAAATTTTTTAAACCAATCTGTCAACCTTGACAGACAAAATTCTTAGGCAAAAATATGAAAAACCTCCAAAGAACCAGCGACAAACACTCTTAACATCTTGATTTGCTTCTCAAAATGCGGGAAATTGAGTTTTTGAAGGCTTAAAAATCCAAAATTTCACGGGGGAGCATGCCCCTGGGCCTCCCTAGATTGCGAGCACCTCCCAAAATCCTATGATGAACCAGGGCGGACGGAAAAAAATTTGTGGACGCAGGGCGGAGGGGTGTTCGGTGTTGATGAAGGAGGTATTTGTTGTCAACAAGGCGCTGCTATTTTACTGGTTACAATCGAAGGGTTGGAGGGTTCCGGTAAGCGTGGGATCACCATTCCTTTACATAATATGATAGGTGCGGTAGTGAAGAAGTGTATGGTAAAGTACGTACGGGACATCGTCGGGACAGACCTCGACCTGCTCGGGAAGTCATCATCAGGCTGGAAACATTTATGGGGGCCCGCAAGCCCTTTTCCGTAGAGCGTAATCGGCCGTTTTAATTCTACGTAGAGCGTAGACGGACCCTCTAATTCAACGTAGAGCGTAATTGGCGCATTTAGCGTAGAGCGTAATTCGCCGTTTTAACTCTACGTAATGCGTTGTAGCTATCCGGAATTAACCGTAAAGCGTAATCGATTAATTGTACGTTTAGCGTAATCCAAGCCGCAAACGGGCATAAAAACGCAGGAAATACCATTTTAGAAGCTTCATTTTTCAAAATTTACAGCATACCCCCGGACCCCCCTAGGAACCTCGCGCCTTCTGCGCTCGCCTCGCGCTCGCTGGTCCCTCAAGCACTGGGCAGAACCCCTCCCCCCATTTAAAATCCTGGCTACGGGCATGTACCCCGTGTTGTATTCTATACTTTCAATGTATAAGGAAGTTACTGTCACCTCTACATATGGTAAATCTATAGGTTTGACGCAAACATGCAGTCGCTAGTGATTGAGTCCTGCATAGTGCGTTTGGAATCTTTTGAATTTAGCGTAGAGCGTAGCTATATAGAGGGGCTTCTTGAATTCAGCGTAATACGTAGCCGGCTCTCAAAATTTAGCATAGAGCGTTGTCGGGACCCCCCCTTGCAGGCCCCCATTTAGAGAGCACCGGGCCGTCACGCCGAAGGTTTCACGGCCGCGGCTCGTGTTGTCGATTTTCTAGGGCCTTCTAGGCGTCTAACAGGGGCGTACACACTTCCGGGTTGAAGGAACTTAAAAAGTTCTTTGAATTGTGCATATTTTCACTAAATGTGGCTATGCAAACTTCTGTTCACCTAGTGCTGAGAAAGGAACCCATTGCTTTGGTACTTTTGCCTACTCTTCAAGCAGAGGTAGGGTTTTGGGGTATTTTTAGCGTGTTTCTAGGCTTTTTTATCGGGGTTTCTCTTATGGTTTTGCACTGAATTTTTTTCCCACCAAACCCATGGGACGAAGGGCTCTTGACTGCTGGAGGAAAACGGCTATACGGCTGTACTACAAGCGTAACACTCCTATCGCGAACGGTCGATCTGTTGCGCTGGGCGGGGGAAAACTATAAGCCCCGAAGACAGCCTGCCCCAACCACGATAGACCCTGGATCCGGATACCATGCCAGGCCAGGGCTATCCAGACTAGTAGTATCGGGCCGTTAGCCGTTTTCCTCCAGCAGTCAAGAGCCCTTCGTCCGCTACGGCCCGGGAGTTGAGCCCAAGGGGCATTTGGCCGGCAGTAATGTAAACTTGTCAAACCACTTTTACCATGGAGTTATAAAAGGGAAGAAACTCCATGCTTTTACTGGTCTGTGTGGGTAGTCCACGTTCCAGATCGGAATCCCACCACTTTCTCTTTCTCATACAGGAAAAATCGACACCAAAGAAACTTACTGATTATCAAGCGTCACATCCTGTCTGATGTTGGTGCTTCACGGGTGAGAAAAAGTCGGGAAAGTTGATTTCTAGGGTGCAGGGATCCAACACCAAAGTTGACTTCCTCTTTAGAAAGTTACGCCATCTTGGAAGTTCAATATAGACGATTCCATTCTGCTCAGAGGGGTTTCAGCATGGTGAAACGCGCGGGTCGATCAGCAACAAGTAATCTTCAAGCAGATGTTGGGGTGTGTGTTCGTCTTCTATAACGACCATCCCATCCCCAGAGAAGCCAAACATTCAGAAAACGTTACGCTCTTCCACCATAATTTATATCTGCTTGTAGATAAAGCCTTAAGAAGTGGTTAAAATATTTGACCTAACTTGTCTATGTTTTGTTACAGGCTTTAATACATCATCATATTACGACAAAAACAAAAAAATACATGTTGTTGTTCTGATATATAATCTTTTGGTTTGAAAATAATAATGAAGGAATTCTTCCCCTTTCATTTTTTTTGCTTAGTCAGTTTCCGTGGATCAATGGCTTACTCTACAATTTCCTTTCTGGAAGGCTGTAACCCCTATACTGTACAAAAATATATTACTAGGGTACTAGTAGAACACTGAAAAGTTGGCTTGAATTTCAAACCTAGCAATTCGCAAAGAGCCCTACAAAAACCTCAACATCCACTATATAGAAATCATAAATCTTCGCGTGCCTGCGAAGCTGGTGTGTTACGCCGGACGACACGGCGCTGCCCAGAAGCGGGGGTAGCCGCTCCTCCTCCACCACGCCGACCGTCTACCGGTACTCCTTCCGCGGCAGCGAGCTACTGACGCGACAGACCGCCAAGGGGCGGACCGCAGTCCCGTTCCCAGAACCGTCTTTAACGGACCTTCCTGATCTCCTTCCCGGGAGCACAGGCGTCTCAACAACAACGGCGGCGAAAGACACGTTCGGGTGGGTTCATAACGTCCCGATTCCTACAGACCGCGTCTCGCCACCTGTCACGGGAGGACGGTATGGTCTGGATGACAGGGAGGGCGCGGCACGGTATGGGAGGAGGGCTCAGCCATCTGACAGGTCCACACAGAATTACACACCGTCATTTGACTTTCGTCACTCAGAACAGTCTTAAGAAACTTTTTGTTGTGTTTGATACTAGAGATTCGGAGTCCAAATGGCTCAACCGGTGTAACCGCGCCATTCGGGGTAACCCGTATGCTCGTAGAAGATTCTTATACATCAGTTAACAAAACTGGGCTTTATAAAGGAATAAACGCATTTATTGTACGTTTGTGTTCCATTATTGGGGATAAGAACATCAGAGTACATATCACTAAGGTGAAAATGACTACCTAGTATCGGATAGCGGTAGGATATTAAATGGAGGTCCTGTGTTTGGGGAGAGCCACAGGTTAAAGAATCCACCACACATTTCGAAAGAGAGTAGGGCATGCCCCGGTGTGCGATGATATAAATTCTACAGTCCGGAGTTGGTGATTCACTACACATCACCATGTGGCATGGGGAATTGGCACATTTCGTCTTGTACCAATCCTATTGTTTCAAACTGCCATTTTGGACATACATGTACATACATACTGCATCTTAATTTGCTGTCTACTGATATATAAAACTCATCTTTAATCTGAGCAGCATTAGTATCACTGGAGGGAATCTAACAAACATTTCATCCAAAGACCAACTCTCACATAGCTGCTAATTCTACGTTACATTAAATAAATATATACATATCCAATCCATGTGACCTAGGAGCATTTTTGATATTCATAATTGATAATATTCACATCTCATTCTTGTGCATAGAAATCTAGAAAATTAAAAAAAAACTGCAAATAGCTTAACCTCTGTCATTGCTCTGAAATTACCAAAACTATATTGTAAGGTTTTACAAAAGTATTTCAAGGAGAAATGTGATTTGTATAATGTTATTTCTACACTGGAGACAAGACAATGTTCCACGCACCTGTCTTAGACCAACTGAAATACCTGTCTATACAAACAATAAGTAACTGATTATTTGGAAGGTGAAGAATGATGACTTCAATGTTATTACCAGATTATGATAAACTTCAGTATGACCAGTTCCTGTCTTGCATACATGCTTTGCAGTCTCAATTCCAGCAAGTATGAAATATTTACAGATTTGACAACAAGAAAGGAACTGATGTGCACTTGTACATACATGTACATACATGTATAGATGTGCTCTTAGGATGTGTTGTTACTTGCAATTTAGATGTAAGTATTTAATTAAATTTCTAGATCATCAGGTCACTATAATACAATCTAATACTCAGAGTCATCAGACTCAGAACACTCATAATAAGCGTCAGACTCCACTTCATAATCTGATGACTCATCGTCGGAAGAAAAGAAGTCGTCCAGTCTGTAGGTGAAGAGTAGAATCATTACTTACAAGTATAAAAAGCACCAAACATGTTATAAACTGTCCAGCTGGTTTGGGGTCACCATTTAGATTTAATCCCAACCGTTTTACTTACATTTCCTCAGAAACATCACTGAAATTGACAACTTAACTGAGTTACAAACAATTTTGATTGAATTTCAAAAAAGTGGTCACTGACAAAAGGTTGAACCTCCAGTCAGTATGGATCATGAATGTAACTAGATCTAATGAGGAAAAGCTACTGCAAGTTACTGTTACATTTTGTGATTAAAAAAGGAGAAAACTCGGAATGTCGTGTTGCTGGATGCAAACTACTTTTTTTACTTAAAAAATAGGCTTGCCTGCTCAAGAAAATCTTGCCACTTAATTTTGTCCAAACTTCCTCTGGTAGTGGTAGATGCGTTTCGTACCTGTAATGAAAAACAAATCCTATGAAACACTGGAAAAAGCTAGCCTCCTTCGCAGACGGTGTAGAGGTGGCAGCATTAATTTTATCGGGGAGCGAAGCGAGTTATGCCGCGGGGGTTGGGGGGTCTCGCTGCCCAGACTTTTTTTCACAAACTCTCTCCCCAGCAAAACTCCCTCCATGGCAAAACCGTCCCTCCGCGGCAGAACTCGCGTCGCTCCCCAAATAAAATTAACGCCGCCGCCTCACAACTCTGCAAAGGCTAGGAAAAACCTGTTTACGTGGGATTTTCATTTTTGACTTGACTCCTGGGACTGTTGGACCCTGGGGTTCCTGAATCATAAATGGACAACCTGTAAAATACACGACATATTCTTACCTACCAGACCCACTGCTTGTATTACGTAAAATACACAACTTGTCACTGTCAAAAACGTTTTATAAATGGCTTGTCTGTAAAAATAATCAAAATGTCCTATCATGAAATAACTGTTGCCTTATTTTGTAACCATTAAATGATGGCATAATTACCTGTCAGAGATTTATGTCAGACAGAGTAACTTAAAACTCCATTGTCATGGGTTAACACTGAAATGTAATCATTCAATCAATCACATGAAGTTTCACTCACTCATTCATTCAATTAAGCTTGAAGCTAAACATACCACAATCGCTGCATAGATGTATGTTCCTCCACTGCTGTGCTTACAGCCTGTAACCCTGCAGCCCGCATGGAGATGTTCCACAGTTTTAGATGTTCTAACACAGGCAGCCTGCTCAGCATGGTGGCGATGGATGTGGCAGCTGTGTCATCCAGGTGGGCAATATGGTGAGGTTTAAGGATCAGCTCTTTCAGTGCAGGCATCATGGGAATGGTCTGTGCAAAGTCTTTGATGCCCACTGCTGTTATGGGATTATGATCCAGTGTAACTATCTGCAGCTGCAGGCTGGGGACATGGCGCAAGTTGGCAGCAAAGGATGAAAGCTCAGTATCCCCTATGTTGTTGTGAGATAGGTCCAGTTTCTCCAGACAGGATAGATGGTGCAGCACAGCAACAAGAGATCTCAGACAAACATCCCCTATCTTGTTACAAGAGAGGTCAAGTACCTTCAGGCTGGCAACAGGCTGCTGGATGGCAGTGAAGGGTTCCAAACCATCATTCCCTATGTTGTTGTGAGATAGGTCCAGTTTTTCCAGACCGGGTAGATGATGCAGCACAGCAACAAGAGATCTCAGACAAACATCCCCTATCTTGTTATGAGAGAGGTAAAGCACCTTCAGGTTGGCAACAGGATGCTGGATGGCAGCAAAGAATTCCAAACCATCATTCCCTATGTTATTGCCAGATAAGTTCAGTTTCTCCAGACAGGATAGATGATGCAGCACAGCTACAAGAGACCTCAGACAAACATCCCCTATCATGTTATGAGAGAGATTGAGCACCTTCAGGTTGGCAACAGGCTGTTGGATGGCAGCGAAGGGTTCCAAACCATCATTCCCTATGTTGTTGTGAGATAGGTCCAGTTTCTCCAGACAGGATAGATGATGCAGCACAGCAACAAGAGATCTCAGACAAACATCCCCTATCATGTTAAGTGAGAGGTCAAGTACCTTCAGGCTGGCAACAGGATACTGGATGGCAGCAAAGGGTTCCAAACCACCATCCCCTATGTTGTTGTGATATAGGCTCAGTCCCTCCAGACAGGATAGATGATGCAGCACAGCTACAAGAGATCTCAGACAAATATCCCCTATCCTGTTCCATGAGAGGTTTAGTACCTTCAGGCTGGCAACAGGATACTGGATGGCAGCAAAGGGTTCCAAACCACCATTCCCTATGTTGTTGTGATATAGGCTCAGTTCCTCCAGACAGGATAGATGATGCAGCACTGCTGCCAGAGATCTCAGACAAATATCCCCTATCCTGTTCCATAAGAGGTTAAGCACCTTAAGGTTGGGAACTGGGTGCTGGATGGCAGCAAAGGGTTCCAAACCATCATTCCCTATGTTGTTGTGAGATAGGTTCAGTTCCTCCAGACAGGATAGATGATGCAGCACAGCAACAAGAGATCTCAGACAAATATCCCCTATCCTGTTATGATCAAGATCAAGATTCTTTAGGCTAGGGACTGGTTGCTCCAAGAGAGAAAAAGGTTCCAGCCCATTCTTTCCTATTTTGTTGTGTGAAAGGCTTATATTTACTAGACAGTGGAAATGGTGCAGCACAGCAGTAAGGGATTTCAGAAACAAATCCCCAAGCCCACAGCGCTTGAGGTTCAGATCAGTCAAACTTGTATCTTCAACCTGCAGTCTTACCTCATTATCTCCTATGTTTTTATTGCCTGACAGGTCAAGTTCCTTAAGCATAACTAGCTTGGGCAGGATATCTCCAAGTGCCTGGAGTGATTCAGGTGTAAGGCCTGTTTTTCGAAGATCCAGTGATCGCACATTGGGGACATTTCTCAGGAAAGGGACAAGCTTACCTAGCATATTGCCAATGTGACAACTACTAGATCTACCTTCTCTTCTAATTATCAGATACAACTTAAGGTCTGGCAGCTGATTTTCCACCAGGCCTGACAGATATTGTATGACATCTCCTTTACTAGCCTCTCTCACTACAAGTTTCAATGATCTACCCTCTGGTAATGTTGGTGCATAATGCAGGTAGTACTTAAGTGCAGCTCCTTTTCTAGAGGGGACGTAGATAGTGAAGTTCAGAGATGATAGCAGTGTGCTCACTATTGGGAAATGACTGGGATCCTGACCTTCATACAAACTCATTAAACAGACTTGTTGCAAAGATTCAGACTTATCTTTGTCCTGGGACACAGCTTCATGTAGTATGTTGAATTTTGTCAGCATTTCCCTTGTGGCTTTATGTCCACAGCCACAAATAAACTGGACCAGACTGCTCTGCTGCAGAACATCATCCGGGGTGTCCAGTGGAACTAACTTATTCAGATCACCTGAGGAAGAGTTGATTGTGTCAGCAACATAACGGCCTGCAAGAAACTCCTGCATGGTCTTGTGAGGAAAGTTCAACTGTTCTCTTGGGTGCAGTCTGGATGCAGACACTTCTTTGGAAACAATACCAAGTCTCAGTAGAATGTCAGTGTCCTGAATTGCAGCACTTTTCCCCAGGTCTACCAAGCTTTCCCCTCTCAACAATGACCCCAAGGCAAGTCTGCCAAGGTACAGCAGTGCTGCAGATACCACTGAGGGTACTTCATCATTAGGCATAGCGAGACCATCCCTTACACAGTACTTCCTGATTACACATATCAGTAGCTCCTGATATAATCCTGACATTGTCCCAGGGAAAACTCTGCTTGGATACTCTTCCCACAGAACACAAATCAGCATGAGGAACATGGGGGTCTGGATCAGACTTCTAGCTACAACATTGGCTTGGAGTGCTTTGAGAAGTGAAACTGCTAGACTTGGTTTCCCCACAGTATTGAAATATGCTGTGGTATATTTCTCTATATTACTTGCAGAGAATCCCACAACTTTCACTGCACAGTTCACCTTCATGTATCGCTCAACACCTGCAAAGGGCCTGGAAGTAACTATGACTGTGCTTCTGGGATACAACTTCTTAGCAAGAAGTTTAGGAATGGTCTCTTTAGCCTCACTTGCATCTGACAGCAGTTCATCATAGCCATCCAACAGAAACACTAGTTTGGGCTCATTTTCCCTGAGACATGTCTCTATAGAAGCAACACTGATGTCCTCTGACTGTGTGACACACTGGTCCCATACAATCATCGCTATGGATTCTCCTGACTGAACCTCTCTCAGCCGGACCAGTAACACTATCTTATTCATCTCTGCTAGCCTGCCTTTTTTACATGACCAATCCAGGGCCGTCTTAGAAAGCAGAGTTGACTTTCCACTCCCTGCATCCCCAACAACCAAAACATTGAATCTTCCGTCTGGATCACCTTTGGTTTCATGGTCAAAGACACCATCAAGTGACTCGAGCATTTTGTGTTCATCACCATAATAAGGGTCCCATGATCCTGACAGGGTAGAAATGGAATTAAACCAGGTGTCAATACTATGACCTCTGGAAAAAGGCCACATGGTGCGCCTGCTGTAAGAGTTACTATGACCCTCTGGGACCAGCATCAGGCTTGTGAAAACCTGGTCAAGATCAAGAGTGAATCTATCATCCCAAGGCAATGGCTTCATAGTGTTCAGGGTGCTTTTGCAGTTAGTGGCCACTGCACTCCTGAATGCATTTCCCTGTTCTTCTGTCTCTGAAAGAGAGATACAATAGATGGGTTATCTAAAGTATTACCAGAGGTACAGCACGTAATGCACTGGCAGTTATGAGTAACTTTTACATTATGTTTAGGCCACATCAATTAAATTTCTTGGTTTTATGGCCCAAAATGGTACGATAGGAGCCATGAAGTCAACACACCAGGCTGGTTCAAAATTTAAACAATGAATTTTGAACTTTTAATGATACCATTGCATTGAAAGATGGAATAACTGTAACAACTATTATGAAATTTAAAGGACTGTTTTCAATTGTTCAGGGCAAAATATGAGCATTTTGCAGTTGATTCTGAATTTTTATTTGCAAATCAGAAAAAAATGAAGCGTGCGAATCCGTTAACCAAGAAATCAAATTGGTGTGGCCTTATCTGCATTCTTTGTAATGTGTGGGAGTCAATAAAACATTTGATGACACAAATCTAACAATATCAAATTATTATTGTCCATCAGGTACAGGTACATGAAAATTTGTAGTAATTTGTATGCTTCTATCAGAATGCCAAATAATGTTGCAATACTGTTATGAGTACCTGTTGTCTCAGATGTGTCCAGTCTTCTGCGCTTGCATGCTGGATCACTCTCTGAATCACGAGAATCTGTGAAAATTAAATTTATCAGTCTGTCTTTCTTAGTAAAATATCAGCATTTCAAATGGGTTTCAGCTTCTCTGATTTTAGCAAAAATTGTACCAACATCATACATGTACATGTTCATGTTCACTGTAGTACTCTTTTAGAAATGAGTGAAACTGTTCCCCAGCAGGATTCCATTCGTTAAATTTGTGCAAATATTGTGTGAATTTCATATGATTGTGTTATTTGGAAATCTTATCTATTAGCGGCTGGAAAGGGACAAAACATTTACAATGAAATTGATAAACATCAGGGAGAATAACGTCTGTCAATTTTACTGAGGGCATGGTGATATCCCATACATGGGCATTTCATAAGTACAGCAATGCACATCTTATCAAGTTTAAGTGTAATTGCTCTTCAACTTAGTTCAAGACTGCAAGTCAATGAAATACAAAATATCTGACTTAGATGCCTAAAAATCTTCCATTACATTAGATTTACATGTATTTGGCTGGATGGCATAGAAATACAGGTCTTGAGCACTGGCAATAAATCATTTACATCATTCTAAGAGTCATTGCAAAATTTAAAAGGTACCTGCTCTGAATCCATCTTTTCCACAGGTTTGTGCAAGCTTCTTCTGGGACTCTTCCCAATACTTTGATCCCAGAAGCTTGTCCTTGAGGTGCTTGGCAAAGTCAAACTCTCCACTTCCATTCTGTAACATTGCTACAATTTTCTTGGCCAAGTTTTTGGAATCCTCTGTGTTATTTCCCTCAAGCTTAAAGATGGAATGATCAAACTCTGGGGCAATGTTTAGCATGAATTCTGCCAGGCCAGACTGATCAGACACAAGAACAGGGACCCCTGCGGCTATGGCCTCCAGACCAACAAGACCAAACGGTTCTGAACGAGATGGCATCAGGACAAGGTGGGCCTGTTTCATGTCTCTACAGATCTGATGTTGTGTTCCGTACTCTAGGGGTGTGAAGTGAAATGTTCCTGATTGAATGTTAGAGTCAATAATCTTCTTGCTGGTTTGAAAGTCATCTTTCCTAATACCTCTAACCTGCCACAGTGCTTTTCGCAATATTGCAATTACATCACTCATAGCTCCTGCAGCTAAGTCAAACCCCTTCAACTTCTCCACACCTCTCACCCTGCCGATGGACAACACAACTTTGGTCTTAGTTTCAACATACCTCAGTCTTGTTTCAATGAAAATGTCTGAAGGTTTAGGTAAGAACAAGAGGTGAGGTTTGGATGGATCTTGCAGGCACCTGTACTGGTTTTCATAATAGTCAAAGATAGCTGGCCCTACAGAGAACAGTGCATCAGCTTTCTCTGCATCTTCTAGGATCATTCTCATCTTTTCCTCAATACCCAAAGCCTTTCCTTCACCCTTGAAGTGCTCTACAAGTTCTGGTAAGACATGAGTGAACAGATAGAGTTTGGCCAGAGGAAACCGTTCCTCTTTGATTCTAACAGCTGCCCTACTGGTGACAAGAACATGGCCAATGACAAAGCTGATATCTGAGGGGAGATTTGGGTATCTGGACTGATGATCGTACAACCATAAGGGGGATGGTTCTCGTCTGTCGTGTTTGTCACATTCTGGGAACAGCAGAATGACATGTTCCCTCTCAGCATCCTCTCTATCCTTGTCTGTAGCTGTCAGAACGGTGCAGTAGACTTTCAAACCTAGGTGCACCAGAAACAGTGCCACCTGGCGGTTGACGGTGGAAATGCCACCCCTCGACGTCCCATACTCATCATAAACCAGCAGGACAGAAGTCATGTCTATTAAAAACAAAAGGATTAAACTACAAATCATCTAAATATGTTGTACCCATTACATCTGTTGCACAATAAAGTTCTTCTTATAAATATGTAAGAATGTAAAAATACATCAAGAGTCAATTCCGCGTCACCGAGTGGGTTGTTATTGTCATTATTTAGAAATGTTTTGAATTCTTTCTAATAGTTTGTCTAAGAAATTTCATTATTTGGAAATATTTTGAACATCTTGTCAATATTCTAAATAATTCCCTGGTTTTCTAAAACGTTTGAAATATTCCTGATGTGGATTATGACATTTCCAATAGTTTCTAAATATTTCTAACAGCACTCTACCATTTTTTACCATTATTTCGAATTATTTCTAACATTTTGTAAATAGGTCAGTGGGATGGGAAGGAAGTAATTCACACATCCCTGTGAAGTACAGGGTAGACTGCCTGGGTGTCAGGCATTGATGCCTTTCAACAAAAGAGCCACCAGTGTCCAGCAGTGAAATCTAAAAATATACAGAAGAATACAGAAGAGTAGGATTAGCACCTACTTTTATGGGGGCATTTACCCACATCTACCATTTTTCATTTGTTTGAAATAGTTCTAAATATTTCGAATAGTGAAAGAAACAAATGGGTAGTTCAAATTTATTCTAAATAAAGAGATCTTTGTACAGTCACTTTCAAAATGTTTCGGAAATATATAAATGAATTCAAATATATTCAAATTTTCATTTTCAAATTTTTGAAAAATTTAGAACTTTTGTTACTAGAGTATTCTTTTCTTCTAAATAATTCAAACGTATTAGAAACATGGAGAAAAAACCCACTCGGTGACGCGGAATCGACTCAGGAAATGGAAAACAAATGGAAAACATAGTATCTTTGTTGTGTCCTTATATTATATAAACCTGTGTGTACTGTCTAAGAAACAAAAAATAGTATAACATTTTGTGCCATGGCATTAACGATTAAGTTGTGGAATGTAAATTATGTACAAATCAATTGAACATAACACTGTCAATGTCATTAAATAATGGCAACACACGTCAATATTTCAAAGGAATTTTCAAAGGTAAAAGTGCAAAAGTTTCCAGCTAGATATTTATCACTTTCAATTCTTTATCTCTTTTAGATATTTATCTCTTTTTTTCAGGAAATTTAATTCCATCCCAAGTGACAGTCATTTACATACAAAATCTTTGGTATATAAAAGGAGAAAAATGTGTTTTATATCAGCCAGATGCCAAAACAATGTGGATGGATGTCATCCAGTACATAATCTCTTTTCAGCATACATGTAACGTTACACCTGTACAGATCAAGCTACAGAAGACTTCAAATACTCACCAGTTTTTGTTACATTCCCAAAGTTCTATTCATAACAAGATGCAACTCTCCCAGAAATGTGCCTATCCCCCCTAGTCCAACCAGACACCTGTGGAACATCAGAGAACAGCATGGAAAGAGGTGTCATACCAAAAATAGCACCATTAAAATATATGTTAGGCCACACCGATTTAATTTTATGGATGACATCCTCTGAAGACCCCCAAACTAGTGCGCGCGGGCGAATACAAAAAAATTCCGGCCAAAAATAAAAATGCTACTGAACCACAGGAAGAAGAATACAAAGCTGGTATTGTGAATTCCCGACAGTACATAGTGACGTATACGACAAGCCGGCACATGCTGGCTTTTTGTGGCATTTATGAATCTGTACTATACTTATGTACTGAGTTCTTGAGTCGTGGAGCTTCGAATTCGATAGCCTGGGTGCTCGGCTCCGTTTTGTCGCTGACTAGCATGGACTATCCAGGCCTAGAGCCAGGCCAGAGCCTCGGTGGAGGTGATCTTTTTTTTTTTTTTTTGAGGGCGACAGGCGAAAATCAATGCGCGCGTGGATGTCATCCATAAAATTAAGTCGGTGTGGCCTTACCATATATATGCATGGAGGTAGAATTGAACGGGGTACTACATGTAACGTTACTAATTTCGAACCGCCTCCTTTTCAAATTCTACTTCCATGATGTAAGTTGTTGTAACATCTCTGTTTCTTACATCGATATTTCCTGTCACATGTGTAGAGCAGTGCAAGACGGTTTGTCTAACGTCTCTGAAACTCTGTCAGTCCGGAATGTTGCCTAATCTGGCAACATCCCCCTAGCCAATCTTAGCCAATCAGAGAGCGCCCCGCGCCATGACGTCATTTTCGCGCGGTTGAGACCCAAGCCAAGTTTCCACTCTTTTTTTCGTGAATTTTGGGCTGTACGCCTGCGTGAAGACCAGTTCAAAGGTTAAAATACGTCACATCCACGTAGCCACAGCCTGGGGAAGCCATATTGTCCGTGTTTTTGCTTGAAAAACCTTCCGAAAATCACATATTCCGGCGGCGATTACCGCCAGATAGGCAGGTAAGACATAAATTTACACATTTTTGCCCTCATTTTACCGGCCTAACTTAGTATTTTCCCGGAATTTGTCGAAGTTTTAACCAATTTTCCGTAGTTGTTTACAGTGTTACTGATCGATAGCGCCATGTTGTTTACGTGTACAACAGCCTGGAAAAAATGTTCACGTTTTAGAAATTGGGACGTTTTGCGTCTCGGAGCTGCCTTCCGCCATGTTTTTCAATGCAAACTGGCACGGCCTCGGCTAGCTTTCGTGGACGTAAAATGCTCATATTCGCAAGACGCAACATTTCTAAGCACAATAAATAATTTTCCTGAGTAGGTAATAGCCTCTTGCATCATTTCATGTAATTTTCAGTTACGGATTGTGGCTAATAAAAATTGTTCGCGTTTTTAAACTTTGGAAATGCCACGTCGGGAGTGCGAATACTAGTATACAGTAGGGGTTGGGAGGGGGGCGTTCGTGTTCGGAGATTCGCGATTGAGCCGTTGTTGTGTGTCGATGCACTGTAGTGTTTGCTATCAATTCATAATTCATATCCTTGATATATGTCATCAGTTCTCGACCTTTTTTTCGACATTTTAACCGAAATTTCCGCATTACTTGTTGTGGATATGGGGGGGGGGCAGTGTGAAATGGTAGCTTTACATTGCATTACTGTTTCAGTACTAACTGTTAGTACATCATTTAATTTATATACATTTGTACAAATGTGTATATATCAGACATTCATATAAACATGTATCTGGATTCAGATTCAGTTTATTATCATTAACATGGCATGTATGATCTTTGTGGCCTGCTCTTCCCAAGAATGGAAACACATGATGTAGTATATTTGCAGGACATACCTCTGTCCAAAATAAAATCTAATCTTACCTTACCTTGTTTACCAGTTGCAGGGTGCCCACATAAAGGAATTACGGAGAACTCGCAGGATGTGCATTTGTCCACATGACATGGGTGCTGGGAAATTTGTGTAGGCAATACGGGTACCGGTAGCTCCTATGGTAGATTGGAAGATATTTCCTATACCGCAACAGCTGCCACAATTTCTTTTTTATCAATGTTGTTTCTTTACAGTTTACTGAAGTATTTTCATTGTATGCATGTATGTTGGTAGGTCTGTTTATAAAAATGACATGAGTACTGAGACTATGGTAGAAAAGACACCATCACCAAGAAATGTAAATAATGATGTGGAATCATGAATCGCAAAGTACAACAAAGAATGATCTCAGTTATTGTTACAGTATGAACAACTATGGCCAGTTTCGTATTGTTACAATGTGTGGTATATCAGAGTTTGCAGCTATTTGATGACAATAATAGTGACATCCAAGAAGATGTTATGAATATTTGGTAGAATGATGCATGTTGTAATTTTACTTCCAACATTACTACTAGTACTAGTATACTGGTCATATTTTGTATGCTGAAATAAAGTAATCTTTGTACTCTGACATATTTCTTCACCTGTTTCTTCAGAAGTGCATGTGTACACAAAGATATATTTTTCACCTTTATCATGTTTTTCTTGTACTTTCTAATAACCCAAACTGAGCTTCTACAGTTCTTATCTTGCTAAAGACATGACTCCTTTCTTCTACACTGTATGGTGGGATTTGAGATATTAGTACTAGCATTAATTACTAGTACTTTTGGCATATGTTGACATTTACATCCTGCCAGCCATGCTAGCTACGGGAACTATTTTCCCTTCAAACATTACATACACCACAGGTAAAAAAAGTATGTTCTTTACTTTGGTTCTGTTGTGATGACATACCTGTAACTATCTTCTCCTATGTTCCAGATTAATGCTGTAGTGATTTATTAACTATTCAAATTAGAAATAGTGTCTTCAGACCAACTATCACCTTATGTAAGAGAGAAAAAATTGTGCATGGTAAATGACTTCAACTTGTCTTTAATATTGTGTACTTAAATAATGTACAAGATCTAAAAATATGGGCTATCTCTTGTGCACAAAGGGCAAGATATGCCACAAAGGGAGTTTTAATAGGCAAATTTTTGTTGTAAATCTATACTTTTGTACACCAAAGTCATTCATTGTTCACAATGATTTAGTTGTTTCTCATATTTTGGATACCTTGGCTGCATCATACATTGTACTGCAAAGTACAACACGAAATAATTAATAAAACATTTGCTGTAAAGTCTAAGTTCCAAAACTGAAAGCCCGACCCAGATTTTTCTTTACAATTGCTTGCATCCCAAATGTTCAACTCTTTTGCGTTTTGAGACCTCTGGTAACCCGATTTGTGTTACTGTATTTCTCTTTAGGTAGAACAGAGAAAACCCCGTCGTTTGTTATAGAATCTAGGCGATCTGACCATAAGACGATGTGCTCGTAAAGCTTAGCACTGAGATAGGAGTTGGCAACGTATTACGTGGATACGATCTACTTGACTTTTCTAAGCCCCTAACATCTTAACACATCCGTCATTCAAGAAACAGGTAAGTATTATAAGAGGTAGCCGACCCAAAAGTTGGAACTTCAGCGCCGGAGGTGCGTGCAAGCGCGTAGACAGAGGTGAGTGCAGTGGACGTCGTGCTTGAGCCAGTGTTCGTTGTGTTTCTCGTAACAGATTGCTTATACACATGGTACGGCTAGCTTGAAAGTATGAAGATAATACCAAATTATCGGCTTTTAAGGACGCAGACGATTTCCAATTCCTGCCCAAAGCGTGGGAAGTGAAAAATAGGCGAGATCCAGGCGGGCGCTGACTTTCGCGGGAGCCGTCGCCATCTTGAATTTGAGGTCAAAATTACGGGTCACCGGTAGTGCGCGTGCGCACAGTAGCGAGTGGCGCCATCTTGCATGTTGCCTAATCTGGCAACATTCCGGACTGTCTGTTATATACTAAAGCCGTTGCACTTTTGTAGCCATGAATTTGAAAGGCAAAGTGGATTTTCAATCCAGGCACAATAAAATCACTTTCTCCTATGGTTCCTTTTAAACTATTTGTTGGGAGGGAAAAGGCAAAAAGTCGCGGAAGTTAATTTCTGTTCTTGTTGTTGTCCTCGTTTTACGCCAATTTTCCGCTGGACGTGGTCTTTTTCTATGGTGGAAAAAGAGGAGTGCATTTCCTTCACGTCATCTTGGTTTGCAAACCCACTTTCTCTTTCTCATACAGGAAAGATCAACCCCAAAGAAACTTACGGGAATCCAGTGTCACATCTTCTCTGTTGATGGTACTTCACGGGTGAAAAAAAGTTGTGAAAGTTGATTTCTAGGGTGCAGGGGTCCAACACTAACTTTACTTCCTCTTTAGAAAGTTACGCCATCTTGGATTTGGAAGTGCAGTGTAGACGATTCCATTCATCTCAGAGGGGGTTCAGAATGGTGCAACGTGCGGGCCAGCAACAAGTAATCTCCAAGTAGATGTTGGGGGTGCTTGTCTTCTTCAACAACCATCTCATCCCCAGAGAAGCCAAACATTCAGAAAACGTTACGCTCTTCCACCTTTATATCTGCTTGTAGATAAAGCCTCAACAAGTGGTTAAAATATTTGGCCTAACTTGTCTGTTTAAATTTTCCATCATCGTGACACAACAAAAATACATGTTATTGTTCTAATATAATCTTTTGGTTATAAAATATTAATGAAGGCATCCTGTTCTTCCCCTTTCACTTTCTTTTTTTTTCTGCTTAATCATTTTCCGTGGATCAATGGCTTACTCTACAATTTCAATAACAGTAAAATACCTACTGTGCTATCCCAAACCCTAGGCCATGTTACACATACAGATCATACACTGTACAACTTACATGCAGAAAATCACTGTAATGTCTTCATTCTGAACCAACTTTACAATGTTTGTAGTGTTTTACACAAAGAGACAGAACAAACAATTGTACCAATGAAAATGAATACAGTTCATAACTTTGAAAGAAAAGTCAGTGTGTCCATATGACCCTTAAAAGAAAATGGTGCCCATGTATTTCTGTAACTATGTATCTACATCTTCATGTAGGCATGAGTGTCGACATCATAGAGTGACAATAATAAGTTCCTACTGCAGGCACTCTTTACTACCATTAAACCGATAAACCTCAGGATTACAATTGAGCAATCTGCATATACAAATTAAAAAAAAAGGAATATTGTAATCTCATTGGGAAGCAAATTACGAGTGTTGACATGATTCTGTGCAAACTTCTGCTCTTTAAAACTTAAATTAATGACTTCAAGTCAAAATTACGTCATCGTCTCTTGATATTTACTGAAAACAGACATCGTCAATTTTTCAGCACAATGTCATACAATGTACAACATAACTACTGCTATTTTGACCTTCCAAATATTCTAACAAGATTGGTCAAAGCTAAGGCAATGGAAACAACAGCATTAATGTCCTTCTTTAAAATGACACATTTTCACTCTCAAATTTTCTCATTTCTGACAACGCAAAATCTGCTAAACAAAATAAATATGTTTTACTCCTCTTTGAGCTTAACACCTAAAGTATTTTAATTATCTCTAAAATGTCCTTGTTGAGTCCATTGCAACAAATGGGAAGAAGGTAGGTTTATTGTGCTGAGGATATTGCTTGGTGACAGTCTGGCATCGCATGTAAAATGTATCTTTCCAGAACTATCTGGCCATCCATATCCATATCATTTATATACACAGGCAGCCCCCTCTATTTACACATTGATACAGCAACACATAGCCATCTGGAATCCACATGGAATCTGTATGTACATGAAAGCAATGTTCTTGTACAGATGTGTTCCCTTCTTTTTGCATATAGACATCCTCTCATACATATCTGTCTGGTACGACTTGGTTGTCCACGTCACATGTCTGAATGTACACGAGAACGACATGTTTGAACAGGCGCAGTCCCTTCTGTTTACATGCTGAGATCGTGTCCTCCAGTGACTCCAGGCACAGCTCTGTGGACAGATGACCTTTCACCCTGGGGTAGTATACACCTTCTGTGGGGACAAATGCGGACGGAGATCTGGTAAGTCAGTGTCTGTAGTGTTTTCTTGTGTTGTAATCAAGTAGCAAATGTCCATACGTTATAGAAGTACAGGTAATGCTGGGGGCAAACAACATATTACCATGAATTTGTCTGTATTCATAATTAAGAAATTTAAACTCTGCTATCCAGTAGTAGAGTTTGAATTGTAGTCTATGTGGTCGAGTACAATGTATGAGTATTGTTTACCTGAAAGTCTAACCTTCATCAATGTAATTTGTATGCAGCATGTCTATATTATGTCTGGTCAGGTTTACACTGTTGTTTCCCCCTGGATTTTTCTGCCCGTTTCTCCAGCATTCAAAGGGATCCGTGAAATAGTCAATGATGTACATCTATCACATTACTGTTAACCATGTAGACAGTAATGGACAGTGTGGTCAGTGCCTACCCTTTGTGTCCACGTTGTCCGGAGGTGGTTTGGCCCACTTGTTGGGCTCGGCCTCCATGAGGGCCTTCAGCCACGGGAAGTCTGAGGTCATCTCAAATCTACCATGATCCAGGGGACCTGTCACATACAACACAGCAGGAAACAATGGACAGTGGTCAGAAGATCAGCTACAGAAAAATACTATGTACTTAATATGTACTACTGAGTTACCAAGATTATGTAACTCCCAATCATGCTCACACTGATTTTACCTCCATGCGCACACTCATACATTATCTTTTACATTGCAGCCAAAATCCATACAAATACATTTGTTTTCAAAGAAAATTAAGCAGCATTTTGACTCTATTTTGATGAGCACTGAAATAAAAAAAAAGATTAATTCTTAGCCTCCACTACATGTAGATGTCATGCTGAACTAGAGTTACATGGAATTGCTATGGTATCAGGTACATGTGTAACAAATCATTTTCAAATGCACCAAATGCATACTCACATTTCATGGTATTCATTTGTGGAAGATTACTACATCAGTACTACAAACTGACTCACCATCAACCTTATAAATGTCCCTCCCCCATGGGTAGCAGTGGAACTGTCCGGGTTGTGGGGGTTCTGCCTCCTGGAAGTCTCCATTTTTCAAAAGTTCCCTGGGAAGAAGGGATCAGAAACAAATTTATTTTACAGACGGAAACAAATACACACTTTTTTCTTTGTGCTTCTACGGTATCTTCTACACTCTTTATCTTGGCTACCTTCTACTCCGGGGTGAAAATACCATTTTGAGCCATTAGAATGTGTGGACTGTAAAACATTGGACAGGGTCACATGGAGACATGGAGTCAAGTCTAGCCGACTTCTGCCCACCCCTGAGAGAGGGAAGCCGGCAGCAGTATAATCAAAGCACAGATATGTTGGTAAGTATGAATGTATGTTGAGCAAAAACACAAACAGAATAAATCCCTCCAAATCAGTCCCAGACTTACTGGTTGATGTTTGAGACCAGATCCATCCATGAGTGTGCTCGAGTCTTGTTGACGATGGAGGGGGGGTTACTGTGGTCCCACAACAAACACAGGTGGTAGTCATAGCAACCAGAGAACAGCTTCTGTTCCAACATGCCGGGGTCAACCTGTCAGGGAAAAAGGTGTAAAAAATTTTCTTCCAAAAAATATTTTCATGGTAAGGATACCAGTATTTGCACTCATGAAGATGATTAAATGGTCCTCACTTGAATTTCAAGCCTTTAAATCTCTTTAAACTTCTGTATGAAAAACTGCAAACTTGATGACATTCTTCCTGTTTTATTTTTGAAACATTAATTATTTTGATAACGAATGGTATTGGGATATATGACAAAAACTTTACACATGAAGTATTGATACAGTATTATAGTAAAGACAACCAAATTTGAACTGAGCATAATAAAATATTAAAAGATAATGAAACAATGTACCAATATTCATTATAAAAACTGTTAACAGTTAAAGACTTTCGCTACCTCACTAAATGGTTTGAGCTACTTCCTCTACACACCTTGTGCATGGGCCTGAGGGTGACCATCCTGTTCCTCTCGGCCGGCAGTGAGCACACCTGCTGGACTACGTTCTTCACGTCCACCTTACGGCACTGCTGGAAACTGACCCTGTTCAGCCGTGGACACTTGTCCAGCTGCAGCTTCTTCAGCACCCGACAGGAAGTTCCTGTAAGGAGAACAAGTCTGTTGTTATTTGAGGAAAACTATCAATCTGAGATCAATCCTTTACGGCTCAGTCCTGTGTCATGTCTTTCTAAGTTGCTGGTAACTTTGAAAGTGGTAGCTGGAGTAGACATGAGTACACTTACTCCATCAGGCTTGCTTGGAAGCATTCAATGAATCTCATGCTATAGAAACATCATGTACGTGCAAGTCTTAGCAACAAAGTTTTCAAGTTCAGTAGGTCGTTGTTGACAACAGGTTCAACTGAATTTGCAAACAAACACTTCACTGCAATAAAGAAGCCTGCTTTCATATCAATCTTAGCATTATTATAAGAAAGTTTATTGCAAATTCTTGCCCGGGGTTTTAACTTCCCAAAACCCACAAATTTTGGAAAAGGTGGGACATTACGTCTTCCATGGTTTACAGAAGAGAAGTCAAACCCTTCAGATATAGTTTTAGACATAGTTATAGTTCTAGACAACTAACGTTTCATGTAATTATTTTATACCCTACTCCAATGTTCTTTTATGTTTTGTAATTTGCAATTAGCCCCCGAGAATTTAGATGCTAAAATTTCCAAACTTCTAAGCAAGACATTGTGGGACCTACAATAACATTGGCATGCCATAGGCACAGGTAAAGATAATAAATACCGGTATAACATGAAATAAAAAGGACCATTTCTACTGAGAATCTATATACTGCAGTGACTAACACCTTACCTGAGATGAAGGTGAGTTTGGGACAGTCCTTCACTACAATGTTTGTCACCCCCACCATGTGTAAGGACAGGCTCAGCAGAGTGGACGACTGAACAGTCAGGACCTACATTGTATAGGTGAAACTACATGTTACACACTGGCGAAGACACGTATCAAGCTTTACAAGTTTTTTTCTTTGGTATCACAATAAAATAAAACAGATATACAACATACTGAGACAAAGTAACAAGAGGTTGTGGATAAAGAACTTTGATAATGATATCCCATATACATATTTTTGCATACATTTGAAATACAGTTTTGCCAGGGAGAGACGGTTCTGCCTCCAACACAACCATCTCTCCCTCGTCCCTCTGCAGCATAACTTTCATTGCTCACCAAAAGAAATAAAGCTGCCACCCTACAAGTTTGTGAAGGAGGTTATAATAAATCTAGTTCACACAGTTAAATTTCAGGAAGCCTGTACATGTGACAGAATCCTACCTGAGGGTAGTCATCCTCAATGACAGGGTCGCTGGTACTGGTGGCCACGTCCCTGGTCCCCACCCTCCTCAGGACCGTGGTCTTCTGCTGGTCACTGGTGGTACCACTGGAGCCTGGTCCGCTCTGGGACCGCGTGACGGGCCGGTGGTACCTGGGGTCCGCTCCACGTAACTCGTCCAGTTCTTTCTTTGTCCTCCCTATTGTACAGAAAACAGATGGAGATTTCTTCACATAGTTATTAGTTAGGATTTTCTAACTATCATCCTCTCTGCAAATACATGATTTGCATTGGATACAGACATCAGCTGTAAGGCACTGCTAAGTACAACTGAGAATGTGTGCAAAGGAAATGGTGATGTAACAGTGTACCTAGAACAGTACAGGGTGAGTCTTGTCTTGGAGTCATCATGTAAAAAACACACTGTGACAAAAAATCATTTTACACACACCTACATGTACTTTGAATTAGTACTCAGAAATAAAAGTGCATTCAATAAATAAAATCAATGCCATAGGGACCGATCTAAGTACTTGTAATAGTTTGTTACCAGTTATGACTTTCTCTGCAGGTTTGGTAGCTGGTGCAGAGCTCCTGTCAGCAGGTTGTTGTGCAGTTGTGCTTGCTGTGGGTTTGTCTTCTGTAGTCTCCTCTTGTGATGTACCACTTGGCTCCTGTGCACTGTTAGATCCACTGGGTACATCAGTAACATCCCTGCTCGGGTCAACATTTCTGTTGTCATCAGGAGAGCCAGGTTCATTTTCACCGACATTACCATTGTTAGTTCTGGGTGCAACAACGTCACCATTTGCAACATTTCCATTGCAAGTTACACTACCTCTATTTTCAGGGTGCGTGTTGCCACAAAGACCAGTCCTACTGTTTGTACTTTCTCCATTTTGCTGACTTGTACTTGGCCCTCTAGAGTTGGTTTCTGCACTATTGCTTGGTCCTGCACCGTCCTGTGGTGGCCTCCTGTTTAGACTACGACCACACACACACCTGGGAGACTCTCTTCCCTCATTGATAGTCACATCACACGAGGAAGGGCCTGCCACAGGTTCTGAGTTCACAGCCTGTTGTAAATCATTATCCTCTCCTAATTCACCATTCATCTGGCCATTTGTGGAAGTAGCACCATTTTCTTGTACTGTGGCCTCTTGATTTTGTGTCTCTTGACTCTCATTGTGGCTGCTTGAGGAACAAGAAGGTTGTTGTGACAACCTCTCTTCTGATTGGTCAAGTCCATTTTGTGCAACAGGTGGTTGGTCAGCTTGCTGGGATGATCCCTCTCCTGATTGGTTAGCTGGTTCCTGCTGAGGTTCTGATTGGACAGAGGTTCCTCCCTGTGATTGGCTACTGTTATTCTGACCTGCAGCAGGTTGTTCTGTGCTATTTTGAACTTGCCTGCTTGCATCATGTTCATCTTCTTCATCTGAACTTGAACTGGAGTCACTGTCGTCAGATGTTGGAGACTCAGCTGCGGGAGTTTGCGTACTTCCCTGCTCCGCCAGTTTTTTCTCGGCTGCCTGTGCCTTCTCTGCTGCAGTTGCTACTTTTACATCTTCCTTGATTTCGTCACTGGTGGCCTGACAAGACTGGCTGGTCATGCCGGGCCTGACGATGTCTTCTGCCTCTTCCTTAGGAACCTTCTTGGCGAAACCTTTCCCCTTGGGGCCGACTGAGTGGCCATCGGACTTGCCTCCCTTCCTTGAGTCGACACTGCTGGTACTTGGTTGATCCGAGAATGTCTCACCTACATGTGGAACATCGGATCAAGAAAATGACTAGGTTTTGTAATCATAGCTGTGAGGGGTTATTTTAACAAAATCTCCTCTCCCCAAAGTGTAAAGTGAACTATCAAACACATCATTTCCAATTAACTACATTTTTCTCAGTAATTTGAACATTGTGAAGTGTTGTCACACATGAAAAGTTCTACTGTTGGTTCTACTGTAAATCCACTTAATGACTTTCAAAGTTGACATCTGACCTTGGCTGACATCCATGTCACTATCTGAGTCGCTGGAGGTGGAATCATCATCATCATCATGGCTGTGTCCAACAGTGGCAGCTGTAAGAAGCAAAACATCATATTCACTTTTGTAGCTTCAAGTCCATATACTGCAACATTCTTTATACCTTATGGAAATATTCATTGTTGATACTGTTTTTCTACCTACAGGAAATGCATTCTTTGTATCCCTTTCATGCTCTTGTAATCCCTACGTTGTTGATCTAGCGCAATCATATTCTTCCCCAAATACAACTTGACTTTGTTCTTACAGCCAGTACATTGTAGTTGACTGAAAGCTTGTCTCCCACCTTGGGTGCTATTATTCCCACTACTGCCTGCAGTTCCGGTGTTGGTCACCAGGGCGGAGGACACCCCGATCCCGGTTCCAGCGCTCAGCCCGACGCGCAGGCATCCCTTGGGCGGTTCTCGGAACATCTCCTCCAGGTGGATGTACTCGATGGTGGGCAGGAGGGTGATCAGCTGGCAGAAGCTGTCCAGTTTGATGGCGTGGCAGCGGCGGATGGTCAGGTCCTTCAGACGAGACCACGTCACCAGGGCTGAGGGAACAACATGGGAGGGAGAGAGGTTGAAGCCAACATTTGAAAGCAAATGCAGGATATTTCACTCTATTTCCTGAGAAAAAATGACTTTTTAAAAAGTATCCACAATGCAATAATTGGCCATTCCACATTCAAGAAGAGTTGCACCTTGATTGTTTTATTAAGCTGGTGACTTTTACTTGACTTTTATACAAGTTCATGCACTTTCATTTGGTCTGCTTGCAATAATGACAGCTAACAGTAAAGCTTTAATAATGAATAAATTCATGTACAAATGACATGATTTTGCCTCATACATGCTTGCAAACATGCTTTTATCGAGGTAGTTTGCTTGCAACAATTACTGTTAACACTAATAACTTGCAACAATTATTGTTAACACTATAACAGAAAAACTTTGTAGACTGATGTAAAAATGACATGATCTCACCAGGTACATGCCAGGTGTGTGGGTTGTGCAGGTGAGGAGCGTTGTACATGGACAGGTACTTGACACCTGGGAACACCTGGCCAACAGACCGCATCCCATTGTCTGTGATGTTTGATGGGTTCTCTGTCACGTCAGCAAGTCCGTGCTGAACCAACTGTGCATTGGTCCACTTACCTGTGGAGAAAACAGGAAAATACCACATATGTCAAGAGTAGTCATGGACCCTGTGCATTAAGTATGCATCTACAAGTATATATGTAGCTGTTGAAGTTCTGATTGGGTATGCTTTAGCAAAATCAATAATTACTGTATACAACTTTTTAACCTTTTGTCTTCTTTATGCTTGTCCTATCCTGTGACCAATACATATCTAGTGCCAAGGTTAGCACATCCATGTACTGATAGGGCTTATATTGTGACCATTTGGGATGGAAATGGTTAGAAAGACTCAGCATGAGATACATACCAGCTTCAGGGAACTCGTCTATGAAGCCAAGATTCAGTGTGTCAAACTGTGGGAAGTCCACATCTGCCATCTTCAGGGCTGCAAACACGCTGTCTTTGGTTAAAGATGGCTGGATGCCCAACTGAAAGAGAAAAGTGACACTCACATATACAGTGCACTTGATGTGGCCTTATGTGAAATCATACAAGAAATTCATTAAGAATTACCTTTATAATAGATTATAATAGATGAGGGAAATGTGCTCTTACCTCTTGAAGGTGGTTTGCTGCTGTGATCACCAAGAATCCCAGATCCACCTCTAGAGCATTCTTGCATGCTCCGAAGACAATCTTGGTCAGATTGCGATACCCACGAGTCCGCCAGCTGTCCTCCACCACGTGTTGGATCAGTCCACCGAGAAAGGGGACACGAACCAGCTCAATCCGCTCCAGGTACCTGGACCCAGATAGTCCCGTCATCAGCGGGACATACTTTAAAGCGTTTGACGGCCCAGCGCAACTCCTCATCACAAAGGTGCGAAGATTCGGACACTGGAAGTCACGGAAAGGATTCGCACTCGTGAACTTAACCCACTTCAGGTACAGATGGCGTAAAAGGTCTATGGCGGGTAAGTCTGGGGTGACAACACCGGTTAAGTACAGAGATGTGACTCTACAGCTGGCTGGGAGGTTCACTCGGTTTTCGACCGAGATGGGGAAGTAACCGTTACGGTTCTTGAATTGCCCCAGTAGGTACACGTGGGGCAGGTATGTCACTATGGCCTCCAGGATGTCCAGGTTGCTGGTTTCCACGCCGAACAGGTTGGGACAGGACTGCAGGGCTTCAATGATGCCGGGGACGCTGAAGTAGTCAATGCCTCGCCTCCGTCGCTTCACCACAAACTGTGGATGGAGGCCGTAGACGCTCACAAGCTCTGGGCAGCGTTGCAGAAGTCTGCAGCACCAAGACACAATGGGGGAACATGATTAGTCATGCAGTGTGTTATCATACTGTAGAATATAATGCATGTACATGTATGTGTTCATTGTAACAGTCTTCTGAACTTGTTCTTTACATGTCTGCAGCACAAAGACACAAAAGGGGAACATTGTTACCCTCCATGAAAATGGGGGTACTGTTTTTACTCCGTTTCATGTTTGGTCTGATATCTGAAGATCGGTGAGAAGGAACTGTACGATATTTGGCAGATTGATGGATGGGGCCTTGGAGATTGTGTAGGTTGACTTTGAGCCCCTGGTGATTGACCTTGGTACTGCAGTTTAATTTTTTTATTCTGTTGTTTTCGCGTTATGGACTGTTTGTGCGATATTAAGGTACAATGTAGTTGTTATTACCATGGTTTAGTGGTTTAAATTTGGGTCCCCTAGCTGTTTGCGTTTGATATTTACAAAATGTTTAATGTTGGACTTTTTGTGTTGAATGTTTGGAAAATCTGGGGGATGGTTTGGTATGATTTTTGGTATGTGGGTAGTTGTTGAGTCTCTTTGTGTTTTGGAGTGCATTAGCAGGTTGTCGCATATTTTTATTGCTTAATTTAAAAGGATTTTCACTTTTTCACCCCTACTTCATAATAGGATGGTCTGTTTGACCCAAAAGTTGGGACAGAGTGTTTTTGTTTATATCTCCAGCTGGCAGTACAGACCCAGGCAGCCCTATCTATTTTTACCCCTAAATCTTGTTTGTCTGGTCTGCAGGTCATTTGCCTGTCTGGTCATTGACCTACATGTACAGGCAAATGTAGCCTGGTACCATCCCAGTAGTATATTCGCAAACTCTATAACAGTTATAGAGTTTGCGAATATACTACTGGGGATGGTACCCAGGCTAAGGCAAATGACCTGCTGGCCATCAAAGTAAACAAACCATGGTAACAAGACATTAAACGCCTGCACATGACAGCTTGATAAATACAAAGTGCCACCACAAATCATTCTGCTGATAAAAACAAAGTTTGACTCATAATATCTCTATTGAAATACACCAAAAGATTACAAAATAACAAGCTATTTCATGGAGGGATGATGTCTACGACTTCTCCTTGTTTTGTTTAGTGTACTGTAGGGTATACATGTACATATTGTAATCATAGCCTTCTGAAATTATTCTTTACATGTCAGGGCTCATAACACTTTGGAAAACTTAGGAAAGACTAACCAAAAATAATAATCTAATTAGTTCTATGTTACTGGGGAATTGCTCCACATTCAATTATGAGTTATTAATTTGTTCATTTCATAGCAACATGCTCTAAATAAAAATAAAGACAGGGGTCAAAGCTATTTCTAGAAGACTGACCTCTTGAAGCCCTCGTCAGTGAAGCCGTTGGGCATCCATCCATACCACTTGCCCTCTGTGAAGTCTATAGACGTGCGCACACGCAGGTTCATGGTCACAGCCTCCTTCAGCTTACGGGACAGGCTCTCCAGGGCCATGATGTTACGCAGGTACAAGTAGTCCATGATGTGGCACAGGACCTCCAGGGACAACTTGTTCACCCAGTCAATGGCATCTGCAGTTATAGACCAAGGACTTTTACATTCTAAATATATTTCTAATCACACATGTACAAGTGGTAGATCACAACATGCCGGTAGCACAAAACACCAGCCTCTCTAATGTACTCCAGTTTAGAGGCTGCAGGCATTAATGACATTAACTTTCTGCCAGCCAAGGTAGCGTTTCGGCACCAAATTTATGTAATTACCAGGTAAGTTAGCAGGGAGAAGGTTAAGCCAGAGGTCCTGTGTTGAGGACAGACACACCTTGCTAAAAAAACAATCATCTATTGACAAGAGTACACTTGCTGGCTAAAAAAATTGAGCGTAAGGAGCCCGTAGTAACTTGAATCATGGCAACGAGGCTAAGAGTAGACTTCAATTTAGGAAGAATATGAAAAGACAATGCATTACAAGTAAATTAACTTCAAATACACAAAAATATACTTCTCTCCTACCTGCTGCAACAGTGGTAGCTTCCCCTCCTGTTGCAGTTGACGACACTTTTGGGCCTGACCCATTCTTTTTTGGGGGAGGGTCAGCATCCCCCAGATGTAATCTCTTTGCTTTTCTCTTCGGCATCTTGAGGTTCAGATTTCAGAGGTTGCTATTTATGATGATACTGGTGCTGAGGAGTCCTGTTAAATAATACAAATTGATGGTTCAGCTAACTTATGATGATGATATGTTGACTGGTGTCCATATAAATCTGGTCACACACCATGAACAAAACATCCGTTAGGTCTATACCAATCTATAGATATGATATTATTTTTCATACGAACATGTATCTTATGAAATGACAATACAAACATCACTTTCATTTTTTTCAACTTCATGCAGTAAAATATATACAGTGGGACTTTGTAAATCTTTTGCAGGGCCGGGCCCTTTCGTACAAATTCTTGGAATCAGTTGCCTATACTTGAGGCAGTTGTAATCATTATCAGTGGCTCATGAAAAGTCCACGTATTTACCGGATGCGTGGCAAAACTTATAGATTTTCTGTAATGCTATGAAGTGAGCAAAGGTCAGGACCAGAAATTATGGTGAACCAGAGAAACATGCCACCATGATTCTCCACCAATCCGGAAGCTCGTACAACTGGTGCAACAACACCAGCGACTTCGGGGAATTTCGGGCCGAAACCGAAAGTAACTGGCAAAAAATTGGAGAATTACTCAGTCACTAAAATTGATGTAACATACAGCCGAATTGTGTTTATTTCTAGCTCGATATTTTTGGAGTAAACGAGAGAAAACTGGTCCAAAACGAGGGGAAGCCCCGTTTTCTCACTTACCTTCCGCCATTTTGCTTTCACTGGTTGTAGGTTAAAACATTCCAAAGGGGTGACACAATTTTGATGTTGTAAATTAGAGATTACTAAAACAAAGTAATAGTAAAATAAGTATTATTTTGATATGAAAAAGATATCAAAATTACTTTTTACATTGTATGGTTACATATAAAACGATATTAAAGATACAGACATCTTTTAATGGGAACTTGACTATTTTGTTCCCCCTTTTCTCAATATTGGACTAATCTAGACTATCATAAACTATTCTAAACACTGGGTAACTGCAATGAATGTGATCTACGAATTATGCATAATAACTATAGAAGTATGTACTATATGGTTTCTCTTTAATATGACTGAAGCTAAAAGTAATTCTTATATTCGTTAAGGTAGCCAAACAAGGTTTATATGCAGACATTGCTTTCAGATTAGAACACATTACCCCTATTTAACAGAATGGTACAGACCACATTTTCAACCCCACCTTCGGAAAGCACGAGTGCGCCTGCGCGGATCACTTGACAACAGCGTAAACGATTTCAACAAAGGGGTGGATTACTTTTCAGATTTGCAAAACTTTGCGGAAACGGGGATTCTGAGACAAAACCTTCGTAATTAGCGTCGATAACGGAAGTTAAAACCTCAAGACTAAGTCCAGGTGCAAGATTAGGAGTCAGAACCCTCGCTGTGGACTTCAGAACGCGAGACAAGTGGCAAACTTCCAGTGAAAGGACTTTTCTAGAAACAGGACATTCAACAGGTGAGCTGATTTGTGTGTGTTGTGGTGGGGAAATATACGTTTTCATCTCTCTTACAGAGCCAACACACTTTTTGCTGGTCTTGGTATCGAAGATTTAGGCCAAAGTGTACTAATTTTCCTGTATAAGGCCATTATGTCGGGTCCTGTTACGGTGTGCACGCACACTGGAACACTGTCAACATCTCAGTAGATTCTGAATGGTTGATAGATGGACACTGGTGCCATGTCACGCCAAATATGTCCGCCTGAACAAATTCCCTTACCTGATTTCATCACGAATGATGTGATTTTGTCTGCTTGTCCCACGTCATTCTATTTGAGAACAAACCTGGGAGAACACTAACTTTGTTGTCACAGTGGGGGGTATTTGAATTCCTGAATTAAATCCTTTTCAAAAGTTTTTATACTTATAGTCCTGGTCACTGTGCAACCCATTTAGAATATATTGCACTTGATAATGTAGAATTATAGTTTTTTTTTCTGTCAGTGCTCATTGGTTTGTTTCACTTTTTCATATGCATATACATTTTGTAATACTATAGTATAGGAAATATGCTAATTATGCTAATTATACCTTCCCAATATAGTTTTTCTACATCCTTTTTGAAGGCTGGGCACTGGCCAGCTATAGTACTTCTCCAGACACCTATGATTGGTGTAATTTTTAAATATTGTAGAGTGTAAACATGGAACTTTTATGCAAATTTGACGTGACATTTATTTGCTCCATCTTAATTCAATACCTTTGGTTCGTTGCAGATATTCTGATGGAATTGAGGAGACGTTAATTCTCGCCGGTGTTGGTACATTTTGTCCATCATGGCTGCTGCAGTGTCGACTGCCTCACGGCCGGATCTGGTGGCTCACCCCGTCCCCAGCCCACCTGCAACACCCAAGGCCTCACCTGCAGGCTCCGCCAGGAAGGCTGGGAAAGGGACCTCCAAGGAAATCGTTGAACAGGGTATTTTTCTTGTCTAAATTTTCGAGGCTGCCTTTTTAAAAGCAATTTTTCAATAATTTTGGAAGACTGGAAATCCTAAACTTCTATTTCAAGTCTTTAGCTGGGCAATTATGTATTGTGGCACTCTATTAGAAGGTTAAAAAATAGAAGGAGGTAGGAGTAAAGTACAGACATTCCTGTCATTTGAATGACCTCAATATGATAAACAGTGAAATATTATTACTTCCCCAATTTTTTGAGCAAACAATATCCTCCAATAAAAATTAAAATTGCACTTTCCTGTTCCCTCTGGACTGGGACCAGTTACTAACCAGGACAATGTGAAATGATATAGCTATGAATAATTAATATCGGTCCCATTGATAGCATGGTCAGCTTTAATGGGTTTCATTAATAATTCCAGTTGTAACAACCGCATGCATTTGTTTGATGTTTACCGTAAATATTAATCTTGTTACAACTTGCCATTGTGCTAGTACAGCACATGTAAATCCCTCGTTTTGCACATTTATACATGCTTGACTAACATAGAACTTGGTAATTATCAATTTTTCATCAAAATTTAGGTTATCAATCCCAACTTCATGGTTTCCATCACATGCATCATTTTTACGGCCACACGGAAAAAATTACTTTCAAATTTGACCATATACGTACAACCATATACCGTATAAGAGCTGCATTATTTGAGATCTGATAATTTTGTCCCCCCCCCCCTCATTCAGGTGGTTCCCCCCTGCCCGACCTCCGCACCAGTGACATGGCAGTGGACCGTACCAAACCCCTCCCCACCTCCCTGCAGAGCGACTTCATCCCAGAGGACCTCCTCTTCGCCCTGACCCAACCCCCTCCTCTCAAGGCCAAGGACAACCTCCTGCCCCCCTCCAGGACCAAGACACAGGCTGTGGTGCCTGCTGGCAGGGAGGCATGGAAAGAGGTCAGCATTTATGGGAAAGATGCAACTTCCTACATCATACCAAGGCATTTGAAGTACAATGTACTAATGCCTACTCATTAGGTTTATCACATATCAAGTGTTTAGGAGGGTGTCAGCAGGAAGTTTTCTTCCTTTGGCCCCCTTTTTCAACCAACATTGCTTTAATAGTAAAGTCTCATGATCCAATCTATTGAAATGGAAAAGTTTTGTAGTCCTGAATATTTTCTCAACTGTATTACAGTGTAAAGGAATAGATCACATCCAGAAAGTGTCCAAGTCAACAACTGGATAGGCAGAATACACATGAACATTATCGTTGCTGCTTCGTATGTACATTATACAGTAAGTAAAGTTAACATTCACTATTACCATATTCCAGCCCACTCTTCCCCGCCGCCCTGACAATGTGTGGAACTTCTCCAGAAGAAGTCGGTACAAACATCTGACAGACAACACCGTCTGTACATGTGGGGCTGGCAAGTGAGTACAGGGCACCTGTGTAACAATGTGGGGTTTATAGGCGCTACCAACTGACCCGGCCGATGGGTCTAGGCCTTTTCGGCCGAGCGGTTAGAGTGTCTGACTGGGGACCGGGAGGTTGGGACTTGGGAGGCTTTTACTGGCTCCTCCTGTTTCTTACAGTGGTTCCCACACCGGCCCTGGGAGTTCTGGCAAAGAGTGCCGCTCCAGGGATGTCGAATTCAGAAGATTTGAGGACGAATCTTAAAAAGAAAAGGGGGAGTAGTGTAACAGTGGGGGGTTTATAGGCGCTACCAACTGACCCGGCCGATGGGTCTAGACCTTTTCGGCCGAGCGGTTAGATTGTCTGACTGGGGACTGGGAGGTGTTGAGTTCGAACCCCGGCCCGGGACCAGAAGGGTTTTTACTGGCTCCTCCTGGTTCTTACACCTGATTAACTACAGCTACTTTTTTTTGTTATCATTTATGATTATAGTGTCTTCTTCACGTTTGCCCAGCTTATTGTCAGTAGAGTTGAGAAGCTTGTGTGAAGTGCCTCCTAGTGACTTTTCAAGGTACTACAGCTAATGATAATGATTGCTGTTTTTTCAGGGATATCTCATTCCTGTATGATGCAGTGACTGCCACATCAGAGGACAAAGAGCCGACTCCACCATATAAGGACAAATATGACAGGAGCAGCATTAGGGCGGATGCTGTTAAAGAGGTGGACAAGGTAGGCCAATAAGTTAAAAGTAATTAATACTCAGTGCATCTTATTGACTTCTGACTTCCCCTTATACTGTAGTACTGGTATAGGTTCGTTTCAGCCAGAATTTGTACTATAGCTGTTACACAGAGTCATATTATGTACACAAAGTTAGTAACTGTGGATTTTTTGTTGATTTTGAGAAGTCATGATATACATGTACATGTACTAACTTAAAGACTTCATCTCTTTCCCTACAGAATATTGCATTACCAGACTCTCTCATCCCTGATGAGTACCATATCGTCAAGTCAAAAGGTGTTATGGGCCTAGAGTATCACGATGAGTACGTTTTGTAACCTCTTCAGTTGAATTATCCAGTTTGTTAATAGCATTTTATATTAGATATTTTTTTTATTTGTGAGATACTTGAATGTTTATTTTGTTGATTTAGCAATGATTGCCAAAAAATTTACCAAATTTGTCTTCTCTCTTTTAGTAAGTTCACCACAGAAAAAGAAGACCATGAAAAGCATCTAACAATGTTCCCATCACTGTGAGTATGAATTTTTTCACACTATCTGTAGCCTTGTTTTTATGTAGCTCTCTTTAACCTAACGTAGCATTTTATCACTGATGAGTTACTATTGGAGGTAGGAAGCTATAGCTAGAAGAAGGGTTAGAAAATGGTCTTGTATCTTGTCACAGTTTTCAAATGTTGATTCCTCTTTCTGATTGGCTAACAGGAGACCAAGTGGCCGTTACGAGGTCGTTCACCTGCAGAAGGTGATGGACGACATGCTGAACAAGGTCGGGGTCGAGGACGATGAGTTAGAGGTCAAAGGTCCAACTCAGGTACATTTTTTCATTAGTTCATTTTATCTCAGACTGCATTTCTAATCATGGAGACAGGCAGCCAATCAGATTTGTATTACAAGGATCAATGTTTCTATTACATGTAGCTCTAAATCAGTTCTAAATGTCAATGTTGATAATAAAGAAGTTATATTAATGCTTGAATCAGAACAGATGATATCAAGTTGCAACATGTCCATAGAAGTGAGGGCTGGAAAAGAGTAAACTTAATCAAGCTGTGACTTTTATAATTTCTAAGTTAATTTTGACCTTACAATGTTTTCTGCTTTGTGTAGATGCACAACCTCCTCGAACTGATCAGGAAAGAGCAGAAAATCTACAACATCATTTTCCACGAGCTCATCAGACAGGTAAGGTATAATAAATATTTTGCAGCTAAGCTGGGTATGGAATGTGTGTAATTTAAATGGTGTATTGTATTAAATTTGATGACTCATGACTCTGTTACTAGTATTAGGAATGAACCATGTGTCTGTTGGTTTTGCGCAAGTCATAGTCTAACGAAAAGACTGACTGACATATATATATTGTATAATAGTTAGTATGCATTGCTATGGAATTGACTGTTTAAAGAAAGTACTCTGATGTCCCGATTAAACGTACCGGTACGTTTATTTTTTTCGGCCCGAACGTCCACCCGGTACACTCTTATTAGGGACAGTACGTTTATTAATTTTTGGGAAAAAATTGTCCATACGTACCGCACCATCAGCAAGTGGCCGGCGGCCGCAAAATTCGGCAACACGTCACAGATAAATATTTGGTCCATGATAGCGGCATTTCCCATGAATATAATGTATATTATTTATTTTTCGCCTGCTGTCCATTTTTAAGTCCCAAAACGTCTGAAAAAGCAAAAATTTGCCCACAAAACCGAAGGGGAAGGCGAGTAGCTAATCGACGTATAATAGCACATGGCGGCCGCAAGTCCTTGTCAAAATCGGCAACGCGGCAGAAAAATGCCTGGTCCATTTTAGCGATATTTACCATGAAAAAACGTATGTGGTTTATTTTCCCTCTGGTGTTAGTTTTTAGGTCCCGAAACCCCTAAAAAAGTAGAAATTTGCCCACAAGACGGACGGCCGACGTGGGGAGGGCGCCTAGCGCCTGAGCAGCATGACCCGTAAAAAGTCAAAGGTCATAGGGCACCCATATTGCGCAATCACCGTAAAAGCGCCGATTTAACTAATTTTAGGGCGTTTAAAATTGATACAATCACATTATCGATTTTTAAAAAAACAATGAGATGGAAACCAATCAAAATTTTATGCTGAATAATATTTTTCTTCTTCAAAAGTTTTTTTCTTCAGAAGTTTTTCTTCTTCAGAATCCAGACTTTGACCAGACTAGACAATGTACCATACCAAATAATTATTATGTTGAAATGGATTTTGTTGTACATATACTCATTAAACCCCTATATTTGTACTTAATTGGGCTTGATTTTCTATCTCTTAAGTTAGTCAGATTTTCAACTCAAGTTGCAGGAGAAGGCTTAGCAAAGTGCATTTCAGAAGTGTAAAATGTAATAGCTTCTCCTACGGATTTTGTATTTCCCCAAAACAAGCACAATATATATATACTCATTGATTAAAGTGATATATACTCACTAATTAAATGTAACAGTGAAAGATTTGCCCATATATTGGTATTGAAATAAAGAGCACATTTTAGTATCATGGACACACAGTTCACCTGTCAATTTGGTCATTTTCCGGGGGGTACGTTTATTCCGGAGGGTATGTTTATTAGACTTTGAAGATTTGTCCGGGGGGTATGTTTATTCCGGGGGGTATGTTTATTAGGGACATGAGAGTAGGTTAAGAAAGCAGGTTGAACATTGTAATTTCTGTATATTTCATGAAACCATTTGAATATGCATGACCTTTTTAAATGAGCATATTGCTGAATGTTCCAGGTGAGTGTGGAGTGTTCGGAGCGCGGGGAGCTCCTGTCCAACCTGAGACAGCGCTACGCCACGCTGCTGGACAAGGTCCCACGGCAGGTCAAGAGTCTTCACGCCGAGGTCATGGCACAACGGGCGCTCGACCGCAGACTCACCGAGGAACTCATGAGATTTAAGGGCTCCATCACATCTCTGACAAGGTGTGGGTGGAATTAATAAAATATGTTACAGTAAATTTTTTACTGTAAGATGTACAACATTTGCTGTGAAATGTTTTTATTTGCAGGTAAACTAGATTTCTTTGCATTATGATGTACCCATTCTCCTATTCAGTGTGATATTTTCATTGCATGGCTCAGGTACAAAATACATTGTACATGTATATATATGTAAATTTAAGGGATTGCGTATAGTATTTGGAGCAGTACTAGTGTATTTTTAAAAAGTGATAAAAGATTTATTTACATATAGTTTTGAAGTAGTAGAATGGTTTATTCATTTCTCTAAAATGATATTTATTTTCTTGTTTTACACCTGCAGTGAACTGGCAGATGTGCGTGAACACGACAGACAGGTGACCAGAGAGGCTGAACAGGCACAGGAGGATGTAAATAATCTTCTTTTCATTCTGAAAGATATTTAGATGGAAAACTCTTAAATTGAATTCTATGCCTTTCCTTTTTCCTGTCTCTATCTGTGCACTCCACGAGTGGTTTTCCCAACTGGTTTCAGGTGTTGATACCCCACGACTCCTGTAATTTGAATCTACTTGTGATTATACCCTGATTGTCAATGAAAAAAGTGTTTTGCAAGACTGAAACACCAGACACACAGCCTAAGTACGGGGCCCCTGTCATCATGTGTTTCGCACTGAGTTTTGATCTAATTTATGTTATGAAGTTTAGAGCTAAATGAAAGATTTTATCCTGGTTTGTTCTCAGTTGGCCGTAGCCCTGACAGAGTCGGAGAAGAACGCCAGTCTGCTGTCTGAGTACCACGACTTGTACGAGCTGCAGCGGCGCCGACTGGAGACACACGTGGTCCAGCTGTCGGAGGAACGCGAGCTGTGGAGCACAGCGGCCTACAACCTGGCTCTGAAGGTTTCATTCCTTCCCTTCTCTCTCTCAAACTGGGTGGGACGATGCTGTGTTATGAATCTGAAAGAAAAGTTTGTTGAAAAAGTTTGTAGAAGCTATTGTTAGAATGAAAAGTTCAGCAAAATTACTTTCACCTGAAATGTACATGTATATGAGTCTTATTAAAATAAAATGTTGTTGGATATTTTTGATTTACCGGTATAAAATCATCAAGAATGTTGCAAAGTAAACAGCCTCCTACATAGCATTTTAAAGTTTATTTTGCTGCCATACTTTGTACCCTGTACAACTGTTGTGCAGTAAAGTTATCTTTTGATCAATAAGATTGGATAAGTAATACTAGATATTTGAAAAAGGATTTTTGTATGTCCTGTACAGGTGATAGAGCTGAACTCCCTGAGCACTGCCCGTCGACTGTACATCAGTGAGAAGGCCTGGTGCAAACTCACCAGTCACTTCACTATTTTACTGGGGGACAAGGACACCGAGGAGCTCGCCAAGTAAGACTCCATTTTTGTTGTCCTTTTTTCAGCACACTGTGAAAATATCCTTTACAATGAGAAATATTTCCACTGCATAATAGTGGTCATGGGAAGTTCAAAGATTGTAAAAATCCAATGTCTTTTATAATTTGAAATGTTTGTTTGTTTGAACTTTTGTATATTCACAGAATACTCCAATCGCCCTATTTGCTGATTTTCATTGAGACTAAAACTCTCAGTTGCAGAAAAAAAAGTTGGCTGTTTTTAAACATTATCTTGTGACTTGTGTGTTACAACCTTCTTCTCTCTGTGGTTGCAGAATCCAGCACCATGTGGAGACGTGGCGAGACCTCATCACCAAGTTCAACCTGCAGATCCGTGCGGGAGACCAGAATCTGAAGCAGAAGTTCAACAACATGAAGGAGAGACTGAACGCCTGGTCCTCGGAAATTGGCAAATTTGTTGGGTAAGACAATGCCTCTGTGTGTCCAGTATAACAGCCTTGTACATACATCAACTACATGTGTAACCCCAGGAAACAGGAATATTAAAATTGCCAGTTCTTCACAGGTCTTTATTAATGTCTGCCTTAATTACCGGTACAGAAAATGTACATGTACTTCAAAACATTTGACAGTAACAGAATCCTTACTTTCTTTGCACCCACTTTTACCAAACTGATAAAACTGTATATTTTACAATATGTGTAATGTTTTAAGAGTACTAGAACTATAGATAGTGTGTTGTGTGATTTAATTGTTGACCGTGTCTGTATTGTCCTGTCCAGTGAGACTGCCACCACCAGTGCCACCAGCTACGGCAAGATGCCCGGTCCTGAGATGGTCAAACAGCTGTATGATGACATCGCCATCTGGGAGGACGTAAGTCTATCAGCGCAGATTATCTCCCTTAATTAACATAGTTGGAACAGATGGAGGTACATGTTGCTGATCTTCAAGTTAGCTGTTCTCTCTTTTATCTTTCTTGTCAGTTTATTTTGCCAGGTAAATACATTAGAGGTAGTACATACAATATAAGTGCATGTGCCAACTACCTATATGAAAAGGTGATCAGTACAGCCTTGAAACATTTGTAGGAGACCGTCTCCTGTGTGACAACATGATATAATCTTGGTTGCCATGACAACAAAATATATAATTATGTAATCTTGGTTGCCATGACAACATGATGTAATCTTGGTTGCCATGACAACATGATGTAATATTGGTTACCATGACAACATGTAATCTTGGTTACCATGACAACATGATGTAATCTTGGTTGCCATGACAACATGATGTAATATTGGTTACCATGCCAACATGATGTAATCTTCCCTCCCTGTCTCCACAGGTGATCAGTACAGAGATGGAAACGTTTGCAGGAGACCATCTCCTGGGTTTCCAGGACCAGCTGGCAGCCATGAACAAACACATGGAGGGGTGGACAGACGCCTCGCTGAAGGTGTTCAACAGACATCACACCGAGGATGGGTCCAACTACCCCGACCACGAGAAAATGATCAAACTAAATGAGGTAACCAGAACATTTTCTTCTCTTTTGGGGTATATTTGTAAGTATTTTCAACCGTACATAACAAACAATAGAGAACATTATGTACATGTTTTCTTCATTTTATGAAGTCCACCATTATGAATTTTTTGGCAAAAGAATAAATGACAACAAAAATTCTGTGACTCTTTCCATTTTTCATACAATAATATCTATAATATCCGACCTTGACATTATCTAGTTTTACGACTGACACTTTTTTAAAGAGAATGCACACATTTCTAACAGTTGTTTTTCCTTATTTGTGTTTCAGGAAGTTGAGACTCTTGTCAAGCAGTATAACATCAGGGTGATGGGAGAAAATGGTGAGTCAGTACTGTAGGTTCATCAAAGGGTTCATCATTCATATTCATAAGGTTGGAACAGTAGTTAGTGTAGTAGTAAGAATTGTTGTCCACTCAGACCATAGTCAAATACAAAATACATGTATACACAAATGATTTTACAAGTTGGCAACATATATTAGTAAGAGTACCTGAATTGAAGTAATGTATTATTTCTATGTTGTATGTTTCATGTAATGTAATAATATACTATGTACATGTATTTGGTGTACTCGCTTCCTAGTGCCCACCTCGTATTGTTGTGTAACAGTTTTGAATAAATAAAAAAATAAAGAAGAACTTTATTGCACAACAATTGCACATGGTACAATGTATGGTACCTTTCCTGTCCCACCAGGTGTTGCCAAGGAGATGATCATGCTGCAGAACGGCTACGAGACATGGCACAACAAACTGGGGAATGTTGGGAAGGGCGCGAGCCTTTCAGACAACGACTGGTACCGTCTGTATGAGCAGTTTGACACGTGGACCACGCAGGCTGGGAACATCGTCAGCCTGGTGGGGACGACACAGAGGGAGGAGGATCGCGAGGCAGGGAAGCCGCACACCAGGTGAGGAGTACCACAATGTACTAGAAATGTAATCGTGAAATGTTGTTCATACTGCAAAATCATAACACTTCAAAATTCAATGTAATTTGTATTTTCACTGTAGTACGGAATTCTTTCAACCACTGCAAAAGCCTCCATTTTCCTAATACCACAAAATAAAACAACTGTAAGGCATTATTCTATTCTATTCTATTCTATTCTATTCTATTCTATTCTATTCTATTCTATTCTATTCTATTCTATTCTATTCTATTCTATTCTATTCTATTCTACTTCATATCAAGTTTGTTTGATAGTTTATCAGAAAAAAAATGTGTACTAAGGTTTGCTGTATTAGCTGAATGCAAAAATGATGTCTTAAAAAGGCTAACCAAATTGTGTAAACTGTTTAAACCTGGTTAATTTGTTAATTGATCCATCCTTGCTGTGTTCCCAGTGTTACTATCGAGGCTGTGGTTAAGAATGTCCACATGTGGCTGTCTTCAACCATGAATGGGATCAACAGTGAAGACTCCAAACTAGCTGAGCAGGTAAGGACAGACTTCACAGCTGTTTATACACACGACTTTTTCTATTAAAAATTGCAGCATATTTAATACTTCAACAGGTTTTGTGATTTCTTATGATCAACTTATTAGTCTTTATCAGTTATAGAAGTTTAAGATTTTTCAAAGTACATATGTACTTTTTTTAAACTGGAAATTGTCTCCCGTCATTTCTCTCCCGTGCGGCCAGTGTGATGCTATCATTTTTGGTTACCATGACAACAGCGATTGTGAGATGCAAACAGAACCCGGAGGACAGAAGGTAGTCTCAGATTCGGCCACCAAGAGCACCAGAACTTCACTCTCATTATACAAATACTTAGTTTACAGAAGCCAAGTGCCACCAGTGCACATTGCATAGGAGTTCACTTGCAGAGCTTTGGGACTAGCTGGTGTGCTTTTAGTTAGTTTTTTTATGTACTTGCACCTATTTTGTAGTCCTTTTTTTAGCATGCATGTTGGTGTAGCATTAGTGCATCATTGTAGCAGCCCCTGACATATTTTGCAATTTTTCAATGAATGGCTTCACCCTGTCCTCAGGCAGCATTGCAAGTATGGTGCTATCTCAGCAGTGAAAAGAACAAGACAAAGAGATACAAGTGCTGAACTAGACCTTAATTGGGAATGAGGATGTCTGGAATAAGTGCGAGTACATCTACTAACAATTACTCTGTCCCAGGTGGCTAAGCTGCACACCAGTATGGTCCACTGGATGGTCCAGCTGCTGCTGAAGCTGGCCCCTGACCACACCCCCAAGGTCACGGCCAGTCTGCAGGGCGTGTCTACTGCCAAGGAGCTACAGGAGACGGCCAGAGAGCTGTTCGACAAGCTGGCCAAGTTCTCCAAGTACATCATACAGTAAGTCACTTTTACTATTCAATTGTTCAATATTTATCTTGTACATAGGATTTGAATGTTGTTAAGTGTGAACTCACCTCTGTTGTCTGATGATGAAGACAAAGTGTGCATTAAGCCTCCTGCACCAGATGGTACATAGGGCAGTGCCCATCTCCAGTTCAGTAGCTACACGTTTGTGCAGTCATTGGTAGTGGACTGTGTTTAACTATGGTTACCGTGCTCTTTCCCAAGTGCGCTCAGTGCTAAGCAGAGAAAGCAGTATGTTACATTTTCATAGTCTTTGGTATAACTTGACCAGGGATCAAACTTACCACCTATTGAATGCAAGGCAAGCTCTCTTTCTGCACCAGTGTGTGCATGTTTAAGTCACACAAGTTTTGATTTATGCTTTTAGTTTAAGAAACCTTGAAATTTTGAACAAATGTCTGACCCTGTGGTTGCCCCCCTCCCGCAGATGTTGCCAGGGCATCGTGATGGACCTGATGCAGGAGAAGGTGGATGCAGGGGAGGAGGACGCTGATCACGAGTTCAGGGAACTCAAGAGGGTCAAGGTCAGAACAGATCTATACTTTCCAACCTCCTAAGCTTGTAAGAAAATGTCAGGAAAAATCAGCTGAACCCCCTTTCAAACTTCTCAGTTTAAAGCATTAGTATAATCAGATCAACAGTTGATTTTGACATTTTGAACTGTTAACAAAAATGCTTTTAACCATCTTGAAGTCATATTAGCCAATGCTTCTTATCAATCTTTATGCCATCTGAGAAAGGATATTAATTTAGCACTTACTCTTTTTTCAATCACTGTTCAGCCTTTTAGTTTACACACCTGCTTCATAGCTTGGACCTGTTGCAAAGGCAGGCTCTGGTCACAGAAAATCAACATGTTGTGGTAGCTGAAATAATATCCACAGTATCAGTACAGCAACCAGGCATTAGATGGTTGAAATCATTGGACCATTTTTCTTCCCCTCACAGTCGGAGAGTCAGGAGTGGATCAGAACAGCCAAACTGCTGCTGAACGAGCTGCTGGGGGAGGAGAGCGAGTTCAAGTTCGAGAACCTGGAACCCCCCAAGGAGGACGGCCCGGCCCCAGGGGGGTCTGTACCCCCCTCCAGAGACGGGCGCTCCCTCCCCCCCACCAGGGAGGGGTATGGTCTGTCCCTCCCCCCCACACGAGAGGGGGAGTCCAGGCTCACACCAGGTAAGCAGGTGTACTCAACTGATGGGTGGTTTCTTTTCAAGTTTCTTTTCAAGAACATGAGAGCATGGTACAAAATGCTACAAAATGGCAGGTTCCGCCGCCACGGCTGCATGGAAAAGAAAATGTACTGTCAATACATTTCCCCTTGTTTCATTTGTACCTGAGTCAATTTTTTGTAATTAACACATGTGCAGCTGCTAATAATCCAATTTTTATTGGGATAAGCAGTATGAAAGAAGGAGAAATCCTTTTGGATGCATTTGACATTTTGAGGTTTTCTCTGTAGTGATGTGTGAGCCTAGCAAGAAGATTGATTAGAAACATTGCATTACAATACTTGATTGACTGCTAGACCGAACATTGTAATGCATAATTCTAATCCTCATCTCTTTGCCATTCAGGGGAGACCCCCTCCACTGCTGTCCCAGGATCCCCTGCAGAAGGAGAGGGGAAGGAGGAGGAGACAAAGGTGAGCATCAGTTTAGCGAGTCACAGAGACTGGCAGCAAATATCAAGTCATGTCACACTATACATAACTTTATAACTGTTACAGTGAGTGCTTCTTTCCCACTATGAAAAAGTTGTTAGCATCCTTCTGTCTTGAGAGAAAATATAGTTCACGCCATGGATCAGTTCATGGTTAAGAGGCTGTGTCCACCGGCTGTGTCCAATCCATGGATGAAAAAGTACATGTTGTATATTAAGCACCTTACTGGCCTGTGTTGCATGGAATTTGGGATAACATTCCCAATGGGACCAGAAGGTGTCATAGAACATGTGATTACTTGTTGTGATCAGATTGGTAATGAATAATTTATGTTGACCAATCCTGATCCATCCTCCACAGTCTGGAGAAGGCCAGGAGCCAGGTGAAGAGAAGAAGCCGGAGGAAGACACCACACAGATGCAGGTCATAGGTCACGATGACAACGTCCACCCACAATCCCTCGAGGACAAACCCAAAGAGCCAGTGGTACGCAATCTTAGGACGTACATCAAAATAATCCAATGTGAATTGATGAGTCTACATTTTTTAAATGTCGATCTTTGAGTGTATTTTATCAAATTTGCTGCCTACTGTTGCCTAAACCAGTTTAGAAATGGTAGTCTTTGAAAGAAAAAAGTCTTCTCATAAAAAAATATTTTACAAAGCAACTTACTAGTACTTTTCTGTTTGGTATAGTTGTTACACAGGTACAAATGTTTCTTGAGTAAAGGACATTTGATAAAGCCTACCGGTATGTTAGATCTTTTTGATACAATAGTACATAATTCTCTGAATGTGAAATATCATATCTTATATAGAAACTAATGAAGGATCTCTGTTCCCATTTGCTGCAGGGAGAAGGCATTACTGTGTCCAGACCAGACACCCCACAGACTAAGAAAGCTTATGAGGCTTTGGCAGCTGTTGATGCATTACAGAAACAATTACTGTAAGTGCCTTTGTGTCTCTCTATAGGTTTTTTAATGATTTCAGATCAAATGTTTATAACAGCTTTCATGTTAGAGAATCCTTTCAAGCAGACCTTTTTCTTTCCAGTTACTGAAAGCTTGACCAAAATCACCCTTGTGTGCTATATGTAATAAAAAGGACAGGACAGGTTATATGTAATAAAAAGGAGGAAAACATTTTGAGAAAGATGAAAAACACACTGACAGGTACTCAAGTTCAGATAAAAAAAAGATAAAAGAGAAACTGTTGAAAATAGAAATGAAAAAGGTAGAGAATCCATCAAAAAATAGTTAACTTCCTCCTTGCTGAAGTAGCCTTTTGGCACCAAATTTGTATGGATTGCAAGGTTAGGTAGCAGGGAGAGGGTTAAAAGTGGGTTTTAACCTGAACTTTCAAATGTTCTAAAGAAAAGTCTGAATTTCCTTCCTGCAGGGATACCGAGGAGCGTGCTCAGACTGCTGAAGAAAAGGTGTCCAGTCTGGAGGAGGAGTTGAGGAAGGCCAAGGAGCGTATTCGGGACCTGGAGAGGAAGACTGGCACCCCTGGTCCCACCCCAGACGGGGAGGGGGCGGAGCCAGAGACACCCCGATCCACCGACGACCCGGAGGACAGACCAACAACGCCCGGCAGGAAGGAGAAACACAAAAAGAAACCCAAGAAGAAATAGAGAACACTATTACCTGTACTCTGTCATACACCAAAAAACAGTTACTTAAGCAACTGGATATAATTTTGGAAACGATCAGACGTTTCAGGGAGCATCCACTACCTCCTGGACTTCCGAAAAATTGTCTTCACTTATATATTTGCACGTCAATCAATAGTTCTTGCTTATAAACCTGCATTTCTGCACAAGTTCACTAGTGTCACTGACAAAAGGCAGTGGATGCCTAAAACGTCCAACCATTTCTAAAATCATATCCAGTTGCTTGAGTAACTGTTTTTTGGCATGTATGTCTAACCTTCACTGACATACTCTCTCATGTTTCTGTCATTGCAAGCAATAGGACTTTGCTACTGTAGTGACTTTTTTATCATCCTGAGGCTTTGGAGGGTTTTTATGTGTGCATGTACATTTTGATTTTGATGAACTTTTCAAAGTGGATTTTTGCCACTTAGGGAATAATTTTTTAGTCAAATTTAATATGTACAGAGAGTTCATGCCATATCAAGTTGTGTGTGGAAGATGTCAATATTCAGTGCATCAAATTGGTATTTTTTCGATATCAAAACTGTATATTAGATGTAAAAATCAATGTTGGTACTAGTATATGTTGATGCACATCTGTAACAGAGTGGGAAGATGGAATGTTGATATGAATGTTTGTGTGGCTCATATGCAAATGTATTTGAAGAAATAAATTATTTGTACAACAATGTCTCTTCTGACAATGTCTGTTATGTACATTTTAATGATATGTTGGTGTTATGTCTATTTCTGGCATGTTCCTTTTTTAACAAGTTATGAAGCAGATGAAACAAGTACTCTTCATGATTAAAACTGCTTTATTTATATTTTCATATCACAACTGAGGTGCTTGCAATATCAAGATATCACATCCACATATATCACAGGCATTCAGTACAGAATATATATTGCACATACCGGTATAAACTTATCAAGTTGAGACTTTTCTTCCACTGTTCTTAGTGTTTTAATAGTTACATTAATACAGTTCTATGTCTTATATTTTATCAGTTACAATTGAATCAACATCTATAAACACCAATTTTGTCTTCAGTTATGGTACTTTACATACAAGAGATATACAAAGGAAAACACTTGGTTATACACACAGTATACCTTATAAAATGTACAAATATCAATACAACATCATGTAATGCCTATGCAAAATCATTCACTGTACTTGAGTTTGAAACTCGTGTCTGAGGCTAGTGCACAATCACTGGTACAGATGCGCTCTACATGATATACATATACATGTACACAATTCAGATATCAGTCTAGAGTCTCGGATGCTACATGTATATATGTGTTCTTCATGATGGTACGAGTATGTATCGCATGCAGCACTTTGTTGTTGTTTTGCTATACTGTTCTTAAACAAATTGTCCTCAAGAGGACAGTCTAGTTTACACAGCACTCAGGTCAATACGTCGCATTGCAAACGGCTCAATGCAGGGTAATTGTGGGGAATAAAAGTTTAATTTAAAAACTGATGCTTCAACGCACCATTAGCCTTAGTCCAGGCTTGCATTGAGAGCCTTTTTATCAGGGTGCCACCATGGCAAAGAAGAAAGCCACCGTAACAACCAAAGCGTACGCGGCGGTCCCGGCGGCATCCGAGGCCCGGCAGATCTGGACCATCTCCGGTTGCGGGATCGGCGCCTGTCTCTTGGCGATGTTCCGAGTTACGGGCGGCGGCGCCGCGGTCACGTTAACGGCAGTCACGTTGTTCCGGACGCTGGCACGGGACGGACCGGCGGCCACCTGCGTGGTAGTGGATGTACTGATGCTGGTACTGGTGCTGGTGCTGCTCGCAGAAGTTATCCTGGGAATGATAAATACTGACTCAAGGACAAGCGATGTACAACGCCGGAACATTCCGACATTAAACACGTGTGCACGCCGAAAACTAAGTTCGGATCTCGAAATTTAGGTTAGGCCGTAAAGTTCAATAACCCCTAAAAGTGGTGGATTGCTCGTTCCTAGGCCTTGACAAAGACTGGAGTTGTGTAGTCGAAAATCCATTTTATATGTGTTGGAAATTACAGTATAAACCTTCCATATAACTCCCAGAAGCAATATAAAACCCATAAAATGGCCAAGTTCCTCAAGCCATGCCTCCGTTGTCTTATTCTTTACAAGATTCGCTATGGCTAGTTTTATAAACGCCCCTCTATTTTCCATTTCGTGTCTCTCTTCATTCCCTCTTCATGTCTTCTTCGTTTCTTCCCCTTTTCGCCAGTTTTTTCTTTCCCTTCCCACTTCCTTTTTTTACTCACCTGGGGTAGTCCCGAAAGAGCTTGTTGTTGTACAGGTAGACGTTGTTGTAACAGATGTGGCTCTTGTCACAGGTTCCACCGTTACGGCACAGGAACACCAGCTCAGCGTACGGAGGGATCGTCACGTTGGTTTTTGACGGGTCCTGCGGGGAAAAAGTTAACAAGTACCCTGTTAGATACTTTGGAATTTGGTTGAAACAGGCCTAAAGTGGGGCAATAGACTGTGAATATTCTTAACAATGCATCCAAAAAGAATGAGGTTCAAAACGCTACAGACGTCGACATGGAAGTGTAATTGTACAATGTAGGCTGGTTGCACGTTCAGCACCAAGGACAGTACCTTACCAGTGTACCTGCTACGTTCGTGCTGACTGTATCGTTATGTAGTTTCGGATGGTTCAGATATCTTTGAAATTATTGCTTCCTTCCCATAGCTTCTTTTAAATGATATCCATGGTTCTCAGGGTGACAAAACACGCTGTCTAAGTTCTCTCTCTTAGGACCAACATTTGAATTTTTAAATAGTACTGTATATGAAAGTGCCTTACCCTAGGCGGAGGTATGACGGTGTCGTTGACCGTGAATCTGACCTCACACTGGCCGGCTCTACAGCTGCTGCTCTGGTAGTACGGCCGGTAGTTGTTGTACCCGTAGTTGTAGTCGTAACGTGGCCCCATAGAGTTGTAAGCCATCGACCTGTAGAATCAGGGAGGCCCATACAAATATCTAGTTACAAGTACAATTTTTAGGAGGCTTCAATGTTTGTTTACGTCACTTTCTTTTTGTAGAACGTCGTGGGTTTTGTATGTCCTGAAAATTTCACCCACCCGCCAAATAAATTCTCTTCAAACATACTTCCTTACGCATTTTTAACCCCATATGGTTTAGGATAATTTTCAAAACGAACGAAGTTTGATTTTAGAATATAACGTTACATCTGCGTACAAAAAGAATCAATTCTATCTTCCTACAGCATAAGAGATCATCTTCTAGATATGATTATAACTAACAGGAGTAGAATGTGATCGGAACTCACGTTAACACGTGGCCTCCGTACAGCCCGGCCAGCCCTGCTATGGCGGCGGTCGCCACCGTGGACGAGCCCCACCGCTTCCTGGACCGGGAGGACGACGTGCTTCCCCAGGACGAGCCGGAAGACCCTCGGTTGTTCCAGGACGATCCAGAATTCTGATTCCCCCAGGACCCCCCGGTGTTGCCATATGAGGAGCCCCCTGTGTTTCCCCAGGAGCCCCCTGTGTTGCCGTAGGAGCCTCCTGTGTTGCCGTAGGAAGACCCCCCTGTGTTGCCCCAGGACGACCACTGCTGCTGTTTAGGGTAGCCCGAGTTACTGGATGAAGAACTCCAGCTCGACCACTGCTTCTGTTTCGGGTAGCTGCTGGAGGCGGACCTCCGCCGGCCCAAACCGAAGCCTATTTTCCTTCTAGATCTCTTCGACTCCGCTTCATGGAGACTGAGAAGGACCAGGAGTGTCAGCAGCAGGGCTGTCTTCATGGTCACCGACATGGTCATCCGCCTGGCTCACGGCTGGAACGTGAACGTTTGTTGGTTAACTGTGGTCTGATCGTGTCAGTGAAAACGATGTCTCTTTTTTTTAAAAAACAGGATTGTCTGAAAAACAGGTCAAATGACCTGAGCGCAATTTCCTGTATAAATAAAATAAAGTGAAAAGTGAAAAAAGTCTTTGAAACACAGTTACTTGATGTTTTGATGTGATAGGGTCGAATTCGAAGTGTCAAGTGTCAGTGTCAACATCTTTGAGAGATATTGAATTATTGTTCCATAACCTTATTATACAGAAAGCAATTAATTCTCCAAAGCCTTAATAACACAGCTGGCAATTGTTCAAATTCATATTTGTATTTTGGATCTGCATCATTTATTCATGGCCTTTCTAGGAAGTCAGCTAAGAAACTGTCTAAGAGGCAATAAATCGATATAAGACTATAGCTTGCGTGACGAATGACTACCATCTACATGTTCCATGTACTGGGGACTTAATGTAGACACGTCGTTTGTGAAGTCACCGTGCTATAACAATATGTCCGCGAATTATCAAATGTCTGTTCCTTGATATTCACTGATACGTCGTTTGCTCTACGTACACATAATGCTTTATTTGACAAGCGTGTAGAGACAACAATTGGCTATATCATCTTTGATTGTTTACAGCCCTCCTCCTTCAGGCGTTTTCCTAATGCATTTGAACTTGCAGTAGGATAAAAGTTAAGGCCATTTGGGAAGGAAGAAAACAATGCAGTAATTTGACGTGACATTGGCTTAGACAGGCGCCTTTGGATTTACCTTAATTGCATTTTTGCACTCAGAAAACGTCTGTGTATGGCTAAATTACAATAAGCTAAAAATTGCAATAAACTAAATAGGTTAGTTTATTCAAATCGGTGTAAAACGTCACGGAACAGTGTACCGTATTAGGGTCAATATTTTTTTAAAGCTATCATTGGAAAGATTGATTATTTTTGCCGAGAATTGAATCCTTCGACGCACCTATCGACAAAACAATCCCATCGACATCATGTCTGTACGAATGCAGACTACTGAGGAACCCGCATGCACGTGCACGCAGCATCGTTTACAATACTTTTGGCACATGTAGGATGCCTAGCCTCCATAGCATGCCAAAAAACTGGGGGTTTGGGGGATCTTCAGGGTCTTTGGGATCTTTTTATTATGTGCTATGTTCTGATTGCATATAGACAACATAGCCGGCCTGGTTGAATTATCCCCGTTTTTTTCAGAACTGGGCTAATCAGAAAACAGCCGAAGACCACCAAACCCCCAGTTCTATAAGCCTGCTACGGAGGCTATAGGATGTCCCTTTCGTAGGAAAAACACGCGGTCGTCAGTTGCCTTAAGGACTTTAATCTCTCGACTTGTCGGCCAAGATTATTCATTCTGTCTGATAACTCCCCAGACATGTCTTGTGTTAACATCACTCTTTTATCTAAGGCGATGGTAATCCTGTCTGCCATTGCCCTAGGCACTTAAGGGCATTCATAATTTATCAATAAGTACATTTTTAATATCTAAATTGTCAGTATGGATCGCCGTACGTGCTGTTGTTAGTGGGTACAGCTATTCTTAAATGTGAAAGAAAAAACGTATAAAAGCAAAAATAATGTTTCCTGTGCAATTTCATGTATTACTTAATAACCACATATCTAAATATGATAGATTAGAGTGCATTCAAAACTAAACAGTCAGGGAAGGTCGGATAACAGTTACGCTTAATGAGTACTGTGAAACGTACTGTCATGACAATACGATATTTTCTCCTACATTCTAAACGTTCGCATTAGTTTTCATAATTCAGAGCTATGCACTCTGTAGGATTATTTACTGCGACATAGCCATTGCGAACTAGCGTGCACTGAACCCGTGCGCTATGGCCTCTGATGCTGAATATGCATATGTGTGGTCTCTCTGGTGATAAATATAGCTTTCCTTGTCAGATTTGACAACGGCCGAAACCAACGCATACCGAGTAAACAAAGGACACATCTGTACACGCAGATATCGTAATTAGTTTTATCGGAATGTATCCTAACTAAATCAAATCGCACGGGTGATATTTCACGGATTTAAATTACATGCGTGACCAAAACAATCGCACTGCGTTGGAATCAAAATGGTCGTTCACTATATGCTAGTCACGGTCTGGGATGCCATTCTACACGACAACATTCAACGTAATTGGTATGAAATTTCAGAAATTGCAGATAACAACACACGCAGATGTACATTGTGTGACAGAGAAACATTCTACGGATCTTACCTCAATGCCTTTCCGTAGATAGGTAGATTGGAGGCTCTGGAAAATTGGGAGCGACCGGAAATAGGTCTCACGTGATTCAGGGACAAACCGTTACTGCTACGGTATGATGTCGGCAGATGCTAAATTGTATTTCAATACCTCGCTATCGAGCCATCAACTGAAAATATTAGAGATATTTCCCCGAATGACGTTACATTGCGTGAAGAGGCCGTTGACATATGTATGTAGACAAAACGGCTTCCAGGTAACCGTCACATATATAACGTTATGCTGTTGACCTAAATAGAGAATCGATGAAGAGGACATGTGATGAGAGTCAATTAGAGACTGTAGGTTGAATTTCAGTGAAATTCTTTAATCCAATCGTTGTAGATGTGGAAAGCAGCATATTTGAAAATAGCAATTATTGTGGATATCTAAATTTTAATTTCAAAGATGTATGGCGACATTTAATTTATATTATAAATCAACATCATTGTATGTTAATAGTACATGTTGTTATCACACATGTTTTACATTTGCGTCATCTTCTAATCTCGCGGGAGCAGCGTTTTTAGGTCAGGCAGAAAGGTCAATGGTTAATCAGATAAATGTAGTTATAAATCTTATTTTTGGGTACCTAAAGTACATTTAATCATATGATTGACACACATGTTGTATTTACATAGGACAGAAATTACGTCGTAGAACAATATTTAAGAGTTCAAAGCTACATTGGACGGATTATGATAAGTTAATAGTAATAATGTTGACATATTTTGACTATCTGATGTAGATATATGATATGACATAGATAATGAATAAAATATAGAAATACATTTTTGTATTTAGGGATAATAAAATGGCAGTTCCTACATGGAGAGAATCACAATATACGGAGTTGTAAAATTTAAGGAATATAACAGTATTGATTTTTATACAACATGGGCCCAACTGCATGTATCCTTTATGACTGTACAAGGCAAAATGTTGTAGCCAACACCAGGGTGATGCTGGCTGCAATTGTCAGGAGGGTGCCCTTCTCGACCATTCCGCAAGGAGCGCGGCTGCACACGAAAATTGACTCTGGTTTGGGTTGTGTAGTTGTGTCGCCCACATGAGTGGCAGTCCAGCTGCAATAGACAACAGATTTAAAGCAGTATTCAATGTGCATACGGAATGCTGTACAACAATTATCATACTCTACTTGATATTGATAATCTTGAGGCCAATTTAATTTTCATCAACCTTCTACGATGAAGGACATGCAACATCATCGAAACGTAGCATGAGTTAGCGGTAACTTAGAGTTAGAAAAGGACACATGAGCCACAAAAACTCTAACAAATTTTGGGCGCATTCGACGGTCACCATCTAGACGCACATTTAAGGAGCGGAACGGTTGTGTCTTTGTCAAATGTTAGATTACCAACAATTAAGGAAGCAAGCAAAAAAATTAAACAAAAACATGACTAATCTTACGGGTGCAGTTTGTCCTACGTGTCTTTGTCAACTGCTAAATTACTAACAAGGAAGCGAGCAAACAAACAAACAAACAAACAAACAAGCAAACATACAAACAAACACAAATGACTGTAAACCTACGGGTCCAGGTTGTCCATGATGGTCCTGCCGTCCCGACTGAGGTACTTAGAGCGGCAGTCCCTGTAGTAGGTGCAGCAGGTCCCCCCGGTACGACACAGGTTAAACTTGGTGGCGTTCACGGGCAGGAACGCGTCATTCTGCCGGGAAGAAAAGAAACATTCAGTTAAAGTTAGCTGCGACACGTACCAGTATCTGCTCGTATAGCCGGTATAACGGCCCTTCGGCGTAACACACCAGCTTCGCAGGCACGTGGCGCGGCGGCAGCTAGTTACATCACACTGGACGACTTGTTACACTCAATCTTTGCACATTTTTAAAAATTGCAGGAGTTGTTTAAAGCTTTCTGGTGATTATGCCCCAACTGTGCTTGGTGGTACCACATGGTTCGCGCAGGTAACAAAATAATACAGATGCAGATGTGTTATATAGTCTTTAAAAAAGTATGATAATCTTATATTTCCGATACCAAACGAAAAAAAAAAACTGGCCAATACTTACGGTACTAAAAGACTATGAGATTAGGTTTACAACACTTTCAGAGTTCAGATCGAGTCGAATGCAAGAAATGATGACAAGTGACGTTAATGTATCGAAAAGTATTTTAAAAAACAGCATTACTGTCACTGCGTCGTGTCTTTTGCAGCTTAGGGTACTTAATGTCAAGGCGCATACAATAGTCAGCCAAGAGCTCTCTATACTGTTTAGAATAATACATGACTAACCTAGCCTGGTTACCAAACCAATTTATTATACTCCCGAGTCCTACATCCTCTCCGCAGGATGTAGGACTCGGGAGCTATAATAGGTTTGGTAACCAGGCTATGACTAACCGTGTTGTAGACTGTGTTGTTCATCATGTACTTCAGGGAACAAACGTACTTCTGACTACAGAGTATGGCGCAACGGCGTCTACTTCGACGCCTGATGTCATGAAAAAAGTGTTTAAAACAAACAAAAAAACAAACAAACAAACAAACAAACAAATGAATCAGTTGATAGTTTTGCTACTTCATTTGTTAACACTCAATGACTACATGTAGGTGACTAGCTTAATTGACGATTACAGACTTGTACACGTTGTTTCTCCACATATTATATTTTACGAAAAACGACAAATTAGACAAAGCACGGCATTCCTCCCACCTGCTCGAATACGCGGTGGACTGGTCCAACGTGAACAGGCAGACCACTGTGAGGATACACAGCACCACCGTCACTGTCAGCCTCATCTCGGACCTCAGTTCTGTGGTATGACGTGCAGATTATTAATGATTCATGGATGTGTCTGGTTTCATTAGCGTCAAGTACTGTTGTAGTCATAGGCGATTGTTGGTGAAGGCAATGGCATGTCTAAGTCCATCTTATGCTTAGGTCACATTTCCAAACCGGGGCCCGGCCGGGCTGTTTGTACGAACGAAAAATTAACTATTCTCATTAAGAATATAGAGAAATAGAGCCCATGATTGTTATAAGAACTTTTCGATGTTTTGTTGTGTTCTGTATCGTAGTTTTCGTTCCCAAAAGCTGCCCGGCCGGGTCCCGTATGGGAATTGTGACCCCAGCATTAGATACTCTACAGCTGTGGTCCCAGAAGAAGGGGACTACAGCACTACATTACATTTGTGCACTAGTCAAGGACGCTTTGCATCAGACGTCAGGGTGACAGTGTTACGTTCCTAGCTAGAATCTAATCTAAACAGAATGTTAAGTAAAACCTACAAAAGTGACTGCTCGGGACAAATGCAAATAGATATTTCATCCTCAAGTACTAACAAATCAGTAAGATTCTTGAAGAAAGTAACATACCTTTACTACCCTATTGTTGTGCAGTGCCCTTCGCAGTATCACAATCCACAGATGGTGTGACTGTATCTTCTACTGACAAGCCTTAGATCTTCTGAGGACAACGCATAATTGTACTTTTGTGTTTTGATTGTAATTGTTCAGTGGCGCGGAAAGATATAATACATGATTAATATCTGTGTGTATTCATTGACAGTACATCAAGGATATTAAAATGCACATGTTGCTTAGCGACCACAGTACACGTGTACTCCTATTATCTAAAATATGTCGTTAAAACGTATTCGATTCCTCACCTATCCCGTAGTCTATCTAGACGGCTGTATTCGATCATTGAAGCCTTCGTATGATACATAGATGGCCTAAAACTGTGAAGTACTAAACCTGATTATTTTAGCTGTACATACATTGAATGTACAAAGACTGCTCTGATCCAATAGCTCTTGGTACTTTTATGTTCCCATTGTAGTTGGTCAGTGGTGTAGAAAATATAAAACCCGTCCAATACGGAATGTAATCATGGAGAGTGCACATGAATGACTGTCGTATGTGGACGTCGCGTGGCGACCGCAATACAAACACAGTAAAATGTCATGAATGTTGCACCACAAAAGACGCCAGGCGATCCATTGACAGTTTGCGAATTCGTCAATAAAGAGACATCTGCATTTTATGAAAAAGAACTTAGAGTTGTCACACTTTCTCACCAAGGTTTCTTCTTTATTCATGAAATAAAATTTCCTCCACTCCATCATTTAGGGACATTCATAGAAGTCCCATCGTAGTATTGTTGCAATTCTTACTCAATTCAAAACATGCACTGTTAACATGTCACCGACCGTATTCTTATAATGTGACACCAACGGGTAAGCTACTACGAAATTTACTTCATTGGTATGAAATGACACACAGAATGTAAAACCATGGCACGTCATATTCCTCACAAATTTTAAAGGCACTTAATATGATGCATGGACGCCAGGCGCACCTAAGCCATTCTTCTTGGCTCTATCTCATGACAACAATCTGTATACGTATTTAGTTATACATAGGAAGTTATAATGGAGAATATATATACCTCCTTGGTTATACAGTTTTATCCAAGTTCCCTCTAAAGATGACTTCAGTATGTCATCATAGTATACATGTATAGGGTACAAATATTCGATATAGGTAAGACTAAATGATAAAATCTCGCTTTATAAAAACGTTAAGACTTTAAATTATGAAATCGCGTTTCATAAAGAAACATCTTTACATCACTCTATCGTGGCAGGAAACAGAGGCCTGTAAGCAGACCCATGGTGACGCTGGCGACAAGTGTTATGACGGTGCCTTTCTGAGTCATTCCGCCAGGGGCGCTGTCGCACAGTATCACGGACACGGGCTTTGGTTGGGTGGTCACGTTTCCCCAGTGGGTGGCTGTCCAGCTGAAACAAGAGTTCCGAGATCTCATACCTCCATGAAATATGGGCTTGACATGTAAATGTTAATTTCTTCTTTAATTATGCAAATTACCTCCACATTAATATAATAAATGCATCGTGATGTTAACTTTTGATTAACTTACACATGTACCAAGTATGAAATTCCCATCATTTACCACTAAGGAGTCATAGAATTTTCGCATTAATTATGCAAATTAGGTCATCATTTGCATAATTGGTATCTGGTGATGTTCCATCTGCCATAGATTACATACTAGTACATTACATGTATGAAAGTACTATAATGCAAAACACTGTAATTACAGAATTTCCTCATTAATTATGCAAATTAAGTCCTCATTTGCATAATTTGCTGTTAATTATGTACATCTCTCTCTCAGCTACCTACCTACCAAAAATGATGAAAATACATTGTTTCTATCTGGACTTATTGGCTTTTAAAGATTTCGCCCGAAAGTCCCCTGCAGTTCCAGAACAAGCTGCTAGGGGGACCAAACCCACACCACTTACTAGACAGGACAATCTATCTGCCACCAAAAAATCAAGACCATAGCATTTTCAGGACAAAAGATACAAAAACCGGAAGTTCTGATGCAGTACCAAGGTCATCCACCAGGAGGCGTATATTTGACCTTGACCTTCGTCTTCCTAAGACCTACCAGCATACCAAATATCATCACAATCCATAAAGGCGTTATGAAGTTATGCTGGCCGCAAATGTGCGGAGACACAAACACACAGACAGACAGACAGACAGACAGACGCAACAAAAACAATACCTCCATTTTCATGGAGGTAATAACACAGGTTGTTTGTTTTCAAACACACAGCCATACAGTGGCACTGCCACATTTGCCCTGAAATAGGTCACCTATTCCCCTGAGGGAGCGCGCTGCCTCGCTGGGCATAGCCACATCTGTTACCCTGCCTCGCAAGTATAAAGGAGATTCCTCTCAGCCATGCCCTGACTCAACCTTAAACCGGAAGTGCTGCTGCAGTACCAAGGCCACCCACCAGGAGGCCCATGTTTGACCTTGACCTTCGCCCTCCTAAGACCTACCAGCATACCAAATATCACCACAATCCATGAAGGCGTTATGGACTTATGAAGGTACAAAAATGCGGAAA